TATAAAGAGCCCACTTTTCTGAAAAGGGGGAACGAACCATCGCCAAAAGGATTTGTGATCCACGTCTTGCTTCTGACAAAACATGAGAGCTTTGTCCCTTCAATCTTCTGTAAATTTGGAACGATCTGTATAGCGCTAGATCCGTTCCCTATAACTCCAATTCTCTTGTTCTTGAAGTCGTAACTATTACTTGTTAGTTTATTAAGCCATCACATTGCCAGGACTATACACACCTTTCCTTCCATAGTGCTGAATGCATGGTTTCCCCCTTAAAGGATTTCAAACCAGGGATATTCGGCCAAGAAGGGTCACTGAGACTTCCTCTAGCAGAAACCAGCACATCGGCTTCGTCTTCAAAAGTCTCGTTGGTATCAGTCCGCTTAATCGTTAGAGTCCTGTTTCTATGTAAGCACGTGGAAGTCCATCCGGGGAGCTTTGTTAAGACCATTTCTTCCTGTTATCATCCCACCGACAGGATTCTACGCTATGTGATAGCTTGACGTATCTGAGGACTCCATATTTCTCAGCTGTCCCTTGGAGATACGAACATATCTCCTTTTGAGGTGCGTAGAAAGCAGACCAGTCAGGGTTCGGATTGAATGAGTATTGGTAAGAATGTGCTGGGATGTCGCATGCACATCCTATGGTATGTGAGCGAACTAGATGAGTAATAGCCGAGACGAATAGCACCAATTCTTACCTGGATATTTGTTCACCCACCAGGTACCACCCACTGATTCGTGTCTTTCATATATTCGGAAGTCGATATTGCGTAAGCGTTGTGGTATGCGAATGCCCAAGTAAATTCCGGAGTAGCCAGCCCCTATTACGCGAACTTTCATGGGCCGGTGGCCATCTATAGGTGCCTCTTTGATTTCAAATGGTGTTGAGTAGTTGAGGGAACCCATCATGGCAAAAGAAAAACTCTCGTACTTAACATACGAAGAACAAAACTTCTTGAGAGCAAACAAGCCATGTTGGATATATATCTCTTCTTATAATGAGCACATCTTGATTAGTTGGTCATCTCGCTAATCGTAAACGCGAGTTAGTTCATCGCTTCCCCGCACTCCAGGTTCGAGATTGCATCTAATACCCCGGCACTTATAAGCCATTCGGAGAAGTAAAAGGGGGATATCACCTCTCATACTCCAATAGACGGGGGTATCTAATCGAGTTTAGCGAGTTTAGTAAGTAGGTGGCATTAGAAAAAAACGACAGATCGGTTAATGCTTTCGGAATCTGACTAATGCTATATGATATTCTGGTGCTAGTTGAGGAGTAGGTTAGGTAATCTCTAGGTCGATTGTCTCCCTTCTCATGTCATCCTGACCAATATGGGACCACGTCGGCATTTATGCGGTTCAGTTGGAGAATTAAAGGCCCGCCCCTCGCAACATCGGCAATAATGTCAAGAGATGAAAATCAATACCCGATTAACTCTACGATGTTTAGCAAAGCAAGAGTAGTCAATTATCTCGTTGGGGGGTTGCTTAAGATCTGTTTGGTGAACAACTCTTGATGTTTACATTAACTACGTGTAAACTCAAGAGATAACTATTTATACCTAAACTATATGATATTTCAATGGACAAGCAAATACTGTTATTCATTAATTAATCACCTAAGTAATGTGTAAATATAGACCAAAAGAAAGTGAATTGTTATGGCTAATGCGTTTATATTAAAATACTACCTGGTATGTAGTTGCACAATGTATCTAGCCCATACTCGTCTCATGAGCTTCTAATAGCGCCCAGGCCGAGCTTCGATAAATATACTCTAATTAGTAATCTAATAAATCTGAGTAGTTCACATGTTAGGGAATCCGAGATGCTTGAGGCTAATTAGTACAGAGAGAAGTGCGATGGAGGATAGCTCGTCGGAGGATCGGTGGGATTGATATTTTGTGAAGAATCATCGACATATCCCTCTCTTAAGTAGGTACTTACAAAGTTCTCGGGGATTTTTTATTTTCACAGCTAAATCATTTTTACGTGGATTACCAATTGGAATATGTAGCCCTTGTCCTTACCTAACCTTTATATCATATTATCTACGCAGTCAACAGTCAGGACCAAAGGGCATCTCAAAATCAAGATTTTTGGTACATGCATACTGGGACATATAGTTTGACTCTTAGTTCCTGGATACCTTATATATTTTTATATCCTCCGAATAATTACCTGTCATACTAAATAGTGTGACTACCTCCTATTTATATATAGTGAATGACCAACCTAAAGTGTATGCTTTAAAGATACATGTCTATATAAACTCTCCCACACAGTCGTCCAGCCTCCAAATTCTTTTACTAGGACTCTTGCGAAACAATACAGAGAGATGGTGGTATTGAGATTACTAGGATTTGATAATGGCCTGAACACATTTTCCGGGGCGAGCTCATCTAGTAGGTGCTTTGGCTAGAAACCTTCTAGAGAGTTAAAGTTGAGATATATTTCTGAGCTATCATGTCCTATACGTACTATTTAGTATTATTATACGTACCTATTAGTTCTTTCTATATGGACTATCGGGCGACATACATAATTTATTGAGCAAAACTTTCACTTAGAAACTAGCTTGGGGCAAAGCATTATCTAAATTTATCAGGAGAGGGAAATAAAAAGGGTGAAAAGTTAATTGCAAAAGCCAAAAAGATTAGGTTAAGAAAAGAAGTGAGATACTGTGTTAAACTTATTTGAGATGACTACTAAATTAAGCTTCTCAATGGTTATACGTATTAAGTCTCATGCGCCTTGATTATAGGTAACCCCTATTTTTCGGTACAATACCCCTTGGCTCGATAGAATAATGCCAAAGAACAAAATAGTTCAACTTTATATTCCTTACCTATCAGTTAACGCCTACCTATTAAGGTTAAATTTGGTTCTCTCCAAGTTCGGGGTTTTAATAGTAGCTAGGATAATGTTAATAGCTTAATCGAAATAAGAGAATTCACGTCGTGTTTTAAGGTTGAAGCGTTTGGAGGAGCACGCTTGCTTTTTACAATCTTATCTTTCGTACCCTTTAATTGGGTAGAAATAGACAAAATGCCTTAGCAAGAGGATAGGGATTAACTGCAACTGGTCGATTCTAAGATATCTGATACTATTATATCGATGAATCGAGCCAGTGGTCGGTAAGCAAACCCCACCAAATAGCCGGAGACGGCTACATAGACGAAAGGAATGAGCCAATGAAATTGTACAGTATTGGACCGTGTTCTACAAACTCAATTTAATGGCTACATATGCATGTAGGCGCCGAGGATCGTCAGCGCATGGCTGCTAATATTGATGACCTAGTCATTTTGGCGTACACGTGTGTATTGTGTATATCTGTACGTATAATTGTACGTATGATCTGTATATGTAGATGACATCAGCGCCACACATATTACCTAGACCGGAAATCGAGGTCTAGCCTTACCTACCTAAGGTAAGTAAAAGTAATTAGCGAATATCGGATCGCATCGCAAAAAGAAAAAAAAGGAGGTACGTATTTTGAGTTGGGGCGGTTCAACGCACTGAATCGTCTTACTGTGCCCTCTCGAACAGCCCCTCAGGCAGTCTGGGCAGCCTGGGCAAGTATATTGATGTACATACAGGAATGGCGATATCTGGATGACGTGCATTCTAGAAGACGAATTGGCTTATCAAACCATAAGCGATGATACGGTACTTATATGAAGTAACGATCTATAAATAGTACTTTCAATTAGGAAAGATAGCGAGCGTCTATAATATTTCGATAGACGAGATTGAAAAGTTGAGAAGTGATATCATTTAAATAAGATTTGGGGGACGAACATTTTCTAAAGATAACGGACGGCATTGGAAAGAACCTGGGAAATTCAATGAGCATTTTGGGGAACTGAGACATTGAAATGATGTAGGTACCTATACACAGGCGATACCCAGCTTACAGATAACCTAAGTGTATACATCGGAATCTCTCTCCACTTTACCCGTTCGGTGCTGATATCCGCCGTTACGGACTACCAGGTTAGGACATAGGACATTGCGATTTTTAGCGTATATCTAAGGTTGTCAGTCTGCCATTTGGGATTCTTAGTGAGGTACTAGCGAAGTTAAATATTTTGAACTGTCAGGTCATAGTTGTTCGAGTACCGCCGTCTGGCGACCACCTGACCTAATGTAAATCAAAATTAAGCATCGATCTCGCTAGGTACCCCAAATTTAGGTCCACCCAACGTATCCAACGGGGGTCCTCCGGTTCTTTGCACCGTCTACAACTAAATCTTCTTCCCTCTACGTGTGGTATAAAGGTAAAGGACTGTTCGATACAACAATCTTTTGAATGATTAATACCTCCTTAGACACCTTTGTTCTCGTCCGACACGTTCTTTTCCTCCATTGTTTCTACCGTCACAGATACATTCTTATCTTTACTTACTTATTGAATTGGTTAATCATCTTACAATCATTAGATACCGATTCCCCCACGCCCCGATATCGATCATTCGCTATCCGTCCTTCTCGGTCAGTGGTTAGTGGTTAACAGGTCGCTACTCGTGTCTCAAACAAATCCTTACTCTATACTTCCTAATATCCGTTGATTCAAATTCGAGTAATTATACTGCAATACGCAGTACATATAAAGGCCGTATTGTAGACTGCGAATTACTGTACCACTGTATAGCAGTTAGGTATCTCATTCGGCCACGAGGCGACGCGCATCGTACCCTGGTCGCAGCCAGGTTTCCCGCGCTGCACTGTACCTCGCCCACGGCCTAAGCTAATGCAGACTGAGGTCAACGTTACAATTCACAGCTTCCGGAGTGTGGTACTTTGAGTGTATACTGTACCGCCGCCGTCGCCCGCCGAGTTTCTAATCGAACTCGACTCCTCTGTGTCTAACCTTCGCTGCCTATCTTGGCTGCGCCCTGTTATTCACATCGCTTTAGGACCTAGGACCAATAAGATTGGATGCACAGCACCGGTCTCGTCTCGTCTCAGTACTAGCCGCGTACGTTAAACGCCACCTTCAACAAAATTCTAACCTATACCTTTCTCCGGAACTCTATCGTTAGCAATAAGTTTGTTATTTATCGACTACGAAGCGTAGCTGCCGGACACCGCGCCGTATCGAGAACGTGAATCTTCAACTTCCTAATCTGAATAGTGGAATCTGTTCCGTCCGACTGCCGTCGCCAGCCCAAGTATTTGGCTTAGGTACATTTGCTACGTGCTACAGTACTTCCTAGTACTTCCTTCACTGGGCTTCTGACCCAGTACCTAGTGGCTCCCTGTAAGAAAAAAAAAAAGGACTGCTGTCAACCCTTGACACAAACGCTTCCCTAATCCTTGCTAGTTAATTCCCTCCTACATATCACTCGAGACTCGAGTCATTCACACACACACATACAAGATCCCGTCCATCGTTTCACACCGTTCCCAAAGTTGTCAAGCCAGCCGCTGTCAACTCGTACTGGCTCAGCCAGCAATTAAATATGTCCAGCGGACAAACTCAACCCCAGTCTCAGTTTCTGCAGGGAGGCATTCTCGCAGACCACGACCGCCGATCTGTGTCGCAAACACATCCTCTTGACGGATTACCTACCTCGGGAACACATACCTTCTTAACAGCTGCTGACGCATTAAATCGAAGTCATGTACAGGAAAACAACATAGCACAATCCTATAATGGCGAATCCACACACTCCTCCAACTACCTATGCGAAGAGCCGATGAGTTCGATACTACCAGTCCCCCACGGTCAAATCCAGTTCCAATCGCATACGATAGCTCCTTCTCCGCCTCTACCACAACGCCAGGTAGACGAACCAATTTCATCTCCTGAGGAACCGTCATACTTCCCATCACCACTGGGTAGGGGCAGTAATCCTCTGTATGTCGCAACTGATATACCGCCTGCGTCTCCAGTACGATCCGACAGCCTTAATAGCAACCCTAGCACTTTCTCATCGTACCGCTCAACTTTGAACCTGCAACGAAAGACTTCCTCTCCGAGTCTGAGACCGGTCTCGAGAACTCCTAGCTTCAAGCAACACTACCCGAAAAGCATTAGCTCTGCGGCAAGTTCAGCCTATCCAAGTCCTATGATATCTGCTATGGGCGACGTTACGCCTCTACCATCGCCATTGCTAGGTAGTGAGTCTCCCGGTCCTTGGAGGCGATTTGGATCCCGCCGCCCGTCGCAAGCACGGGAGGCTTTACCTCCAGTTATGCCTGATTCAGTCCTTATAACCGCAGCCGGTGAATCTGTTGCATCCGCACTGGCTCATCAAACTAAACGGAAGGTATATGCAGGACTCAATGTCGGCCACGCAGCTGAAATCAGCAGCGGCAAGGTTGAACATGGCCGGAACAGAAGTATTAGTGAATATATACCAGACCCGAAGGGCATACCCAAGCGGCAGCATACCGTGTCTGGAAAAGTTGACGGGAATGACATGGATGGTACTTCCGACCCTCATTTACGCCGGGAACCGCATCTGTCAGCTGCGCGAGGCATTATACCAGTAACGAAACCGCCGTCGCCCCCTCCCAGCGAGTCGTCACAAAGCAGTGATAACGCCAGCTCTAAAAGATCACGCTACGAGTATTTTGAGGCTCGTGGTCGATATGATGGCAGACTTAGACGATGGCGTGCTATTAAGGAGCTAGGACAGGGAACGTTTAGCCGAGTGATGTTAGCTACAAGTCAGGTGGCTGCCGACGACGAAGCCAATGACACGACTCAAAATGGGACGAATGGGCTACCATCCCCGATAAATGGTGCCCAACTAGATCGTAAGACTTTGGTGGCCGTCAAAGTTTGTGAACATGGGCCTCGGGGTGGGGCCTCAGAAGATCGAATTGAGATGAGCCTCAAACGAGAGCTCGATATAATGCGATCGATAAGCCATCCGTCATTAGTTCATTTGAAGGCCTGGAGTATAGAACCAACAAGGGCATTGTTAGTATTAAGTTATTGCCCTGGGGGCGACCTATTCGACGTCGCAACGACCTACCGAGATGCCTTGACGCCCCCACTTTTGAGAAGGATATTTGCCGAGATAGTGGGTGCAGTGGGATACCTTCACGAACGCCGGATTGTTCATCGGGATATCAAGCTTGAGAGTAAGTAATCCTGTGAATCATAATAATTGTATGATGAGTTCTCGTTTGCTAACGAAGTTGATAGACGTCTTAGTGAATATCCCGCCATCTGAGCTTACAAAACCAGACCAAGATTGGGCTGTATATCCGTATTCCGTGACTACTCTTACGGATTTGGGCCTGTCGCGACGCGTGGCCGATGATGAGAAGCTCGAGACTCGATGTGGATCAGACGACTACGCTGCCCCTGAAGTCATATTAGGACAGCCGTATGATGGGCGTGCTGTCGACGCCTGGTCACTTGGTGTTTTACTCTACGCTCTTCTCGAATCACGACTTCCTTTTGATCCTCCTCCTGGTGCTAGCGATGCGCAGCGGATGCGAAGTAGGACTAGTCACAGGATCGCGCGCGTTGAATGGAGATGGATTAAGTACCAGGGCGACGACGGCGATCATGACGCGAGCGAGGCCAAATTTGAGAGTGAAGGCCTAAAGGGCGCCATGGAAATTACTGAAGGTCTTCTTAAGCGAGCTAGAAGTCGCTGGCCAATGGAGAAAGTGGTCAAGCACGAATGGGTTCGCGACGCAATCCAGGTCGAAGGTGGTCTAAAGTTTAGAGAAGAAGAGGAAGGAGAAGAGGTGTCATGACACTAGCTAGAGTCTGCTAGGCGTACTTTCGCTTAGAAACGCGCATCAAAAGGTGCATACGGTTTTCACAATTTCTTGGGCTCAGTTTTGGGAGGTCTGGCTCACGGCTGGCAATGCCGTGGCGAAAAAGGACCTTGGGGAGCTTTTTAACTGTTTATTGGGGATGATTCAAGACTATGCTTTTAGGTGTTTCAATGGCTTACATACGAGCAAAAGATAGGCGCTGCTGCGCGAGACGAGCTCGAACAATATAGTCACTAGCAACGGTGTTTCTGAGAGCGGTTTTGGCACTCTGTATTATAAGGGACACATGGAGAGAAAAATGATTCTTCAATTCGAGTTACCTAGCAATAACATCAACATTCACAATCTTGGCAATGAAGTCCTAATGCTCGGCTCGTTTAAGGGGATATTACGTTACACCCCCCGGCTAAATCGTGCACATGACCTACAAAAAGGGGCTGGGTGTCGAGTGCTTGGGGTATAACCAGAGAAATGATGATTACGGCACGGCTTAACCACAGATAGGGATCTAGGTATGCTTAAGGTAATGGCGCTCAGTCCCATCACTTAATTTCTGTGTTAAAGTTGGTATGTTACTTTTTGTGTATGCTCGGCACATGATATTGGGCTATATCGTGTCCCTAGCGGGATAGCTTATTGAGGAATGTTGAAATTGGGGATGGAGTCTCTTATTTACGTGATTATTTACGTGATAGCCATGGTCTGATTAATGAATGAGATATATACAAGGAAGCGTCAGATATACTATAATAGCAAAAGTACTATTACGAAATTACCTTTTAGTGGTGTAGTGGTATGTTCGATAGGAAGTCAGAAATGCAAGTCTACGTGCATACGTTGTGAGATGAACCTCGATATGGACTCCCCCTTTAGATTCTCGTTACCGGATTCATGGAAAAGTTAAATTCGAGAACGCATTTTAAAAATAATGGGATAATCACGTAAATATCAAAATAGCTCATGGGAGTCCTACGATCACAATACCCTCGTTTAATAATTCAAGATGAAATGCATTTTTCTATCCGCAGGTCAACGCCTATCCCGGGTATCCCTTGAACGCCAAATGCGACTGTTTTTTTTGTAACTGCCCGTCCCAATGCCGTTGCAAAATAGACTAGAACCCTAGTTTCGATTCACTCATTCAAGAATAATTCCCTCTCGTCTTTTCAAGGTCCTCCGATACCGTTCTGGTTCCTACCAAACAGCTCGTTCAAACTGACCTGGCGACCGGGCCCCTGTGCTACGGACACGTCCTCCACGTCGTCACCTGGTGATCCACTCGTGGGGGGACTAGCCGAAGCTTCTTCCGCCTCGTCTTGGGCAGAACGGGCCTTGGACCACATCTCGTGGATGAGAGCGGAGTTGGTGCGTCGGTCCTGCTCGTCCTCGGCGTAGATCCACATCCCGATGACCTTGGGCCGCACGGACTCCCCGTTCTCCATCGGGATCTGGGGACCCTCCTGGTCAAGCTTGAAACTGAGCAAGTCGGTAGCTAGCTCGAAGTCGCTGACGGTGCTCAGGTCTAAAATCAGATTCTGCAGGCCCTTGCGGTTCAATATGAACAGACACCCGTCTGCGGCGGCTGCCTCTCCGTCCTCGTCCTGCGCGCAGATGAATAATGTGCCTTCCACGGTGGACCTGTCCCACTTGCTCGGGGGCGTGAAGACGTAGACTACAGCATGGGCGGCGATGGACAGGATGCTGGTGATGCTGGGCCTGTACCGACGGAGGACGCTCAGGTTGAGCTCGGTGTTGGTGCGCGCGGCGAGGGCGGCGGCGGCGGCGGGAGGTGGGGGGTGCGAAGCCATGTAAGACGCGGTATCTGATTCGTAGTCGGAAGCAACCGTGGTTGTGGCGCCGCCGAATTGTAACTCTGCTGCCTGGGCGCGGAGTTGCTGGGACCTGTTTCGCGCGTGAACATGCGGTAATTGAGGGTGCTGTTGCTGGGAATGTGGGTGTGGGTGTGGGTGTGGGTGTGGGTGCGAATGCGGCGAGCGCGAGAAGGATGGAATAGTCTGGGGGTGATGGTATTGCTGTTGCTGTTGATGTTGCTGTTGATGTTGGCCCCGACTTTGGTACTTGCGGGGTGTTGTTGTTGTTTGAGACATTTTGCGCTATACTATATAATGGGTTTAAGCTTGGGCGGAGTCGAGAGGTTCTTTGTGGCCGTTTGTGTTAGCTACCTAAGTTGGGTACGAAGCGTGAGGTTAATTGTTGTAAGAGGTATGAATTGCTTTGTTGTTGGGTTCTAAAATTGGTGTTGATGGGCAACACAATTAGGTACATGTTTAGCTCCAGGACCCCGCCCCCGCCTGATGGAGCTTCCACTGGGTTAGGTACATAATGCTGGCAGTAATAAGGTACGGTGCGATAAGTGTGCTTACCTAATCTAATCGATACCTTATGTACAGCTCAAACATGCATGTGAGGTAATAGCCCAAAGTCCTTCATTCCATTATTATATGGACTTCCCTCTCTCGGGCTTGCGACCGTTGTATTTCCCTTAGGTTAAATCATCTTGTTGTTTCGGTGGAATTCTGATTTAATATCACTTTCTTTCCGACACCGGCTTTCGTTTGAATATAGTTCGTGAAAGCCCTTTTATTGTATTTATCCACACTCCTATATTTTTCACGTGTTTAAACCAGAGACAGCCCCTCGATACGTTACAACTCACGATGCTCTACACCGAGTTCAGCGCACGCGACCGAGAGTTGACATAGGCACTTATCCCTTTATCCTATACCGCATTTTCGTTTTACGCTATTTCCTATTTCCTCATCGTGGGGAATTGTTTCAACAGCTCGACTATATATAACCAACTATGTCATCCCCTAATCGCGATCCTACCGTTGTGTCGGATACGGAACCAGTCGAGGAAGAAGCTTCGAACCAATATTCTCTCTCCCGCGCTGTGCGTGCTAGAAAGTCCGAGTATGTCAGATCCCACCGAATACGGATAAAGGTTGGGTCCTGGAATGTTGCTGGTTGCCCTGGCACCGACAAAGACTTGGCGAGTTGGTTCATTGACGGCAAAGGGGTCGAGCCACAACTGGATTCGAAGCTGGCTCGGATGAACTTTTCCGAGGAGAGTGCAGAACTAGAAACAGATGAATTCGAAGATGCTAGATCACAGACGAGCGGGAGACACAGCATTAATTCAGGGGTTCAAGAGAGTTTAAACTTAGACGACGAGACTACGCAAGATGGAAATGAAGAACCACACGTTCGCCTGCTAGGTGGTGATAAGATAGGGCTTTATGTTCTTGGACTGCAGGAAATCGTCAATTTGAACATTGTCGCCCAAACCTTCTATTCTGACCCGGCCGCTATTGCGAAATGGAAAGATGCGCTCGAAGCTGCCCTACCAAAGGGCTACACCCTTGTTGCCTGCGAGCAACTTGTCGGCCTTCTTCTACTTATATACGCGTCTCCCGAAGTAGCTGAAACTATATCAAACGAGTCTACTATTAGTGTTGGAACCGGTATATATGGCCTATTGGGCTATTGGGGTAATAAAGGAGCAATTTCATCTCGCATCCTCCTAGGCGAAACCACCCGACTCGTTTTCACTAATTGCCATCTCGCTTCCGGTCACGATCAGACCAGTCTCGACAGACGATGTTGGGACTATAATAGGGTCATGACCCAGACCAAATTTACTCCCATTAATCACGGCGGTGTACTCGAGGATGAGGGCGAAAAATTAGGGGATGAAGACTTTTCTTTCTGGTTTGGAGATCTAAACTTTCGCCTAGATGATTTACCTGGAGAAGATATCCGACGCTTACTGATGCTACATACTCGCGGCGAGTATGACGTAAATAAGAAGCGTACCGGGGAGATGTTCAGCGACGACGGAGTCATTGTGTTACGCAACAATGACGACGAAGATGGCACAAATACGCCTGGCATGATTTCGCGTGAAACATCTTTCGATAAAGATTCTAGCGAGGAAAGTACTGAACTCCCAGATCCAGATGACTTCATTCCTGACCCGCGCGATGATCCGGCGTCTTTACAAGCCACACTGGATTCCTTACTCCCACATGACCAGCTCAAACGTATGATCAAGGAGCGGAAAGCGTTTCACGAAGGTTGGCACGAGGGGCCTATCACGTTTTTACCAACATACAAGTATGATGTTGGTACTGTAGGACTCTTTGACTCTTCAGAAAAGCAGCGAGCCCCGAGTTGGTGCGATCGCATCTTGTATCGCACGCGCACGGATATAGGTCAATATGAGAAGAAATGCCAAGACGAAATCGACGCTAAAAAGAAGGACGAGGATATGCAAAGAAGAGGCATTGACCAGGCCGCGGAAGATGAGAGCGTTTTATTTGATTATGATCCTGCCACTGATTCAAGCGCCGACAACCAGGGATACAGCGACGCCAACTCTTACGAATACGATGAATATGACGAGGGGGATGAGGATACAGGACATGTTGTAACGAAGGAAGGCTTCGTTGATAAAATCAGCTTGGATATATATACCAGCCATCAGCGGATCATGTCGTCAGATCACAAACCAGTAGTTTCTGTGTTTACATTGGATTTCGATGCTGTAGTCCCCGAGCTAAAGGCGAAAGTCCACGCCGAAGTAGCAAGAGAACTTGATCGAGCGGAGAATGAAGGGCGACCAGGAATTACTGTTATTGTCGACGGAAAAGACTCAATCAATAAGGATAACGGTAACAAGCACGCGGCCGATGGAAGCGAAGGAGTTGACTTTGGTGAGATCGGGTTCCTGCGAAGAGAATCTCGGTCTCTAACAATTGCCAATACTGGACGTGTTCCGGCGAATTTCTCCTTTGTAGAAAAGCCGGACACAGTCGATGCAAGCGAATATCCGAATTGGTTGGAATTTAAATTTGTCCGTTCGGAGGTCAGCCGCAATGGACAAGTAGAAGATGCCCTTGGTGATGAAATCACTTTAGAGCCGGGGGAAACAGTCAACGCTGTTATACAGGCCTATATTTACGACCTCGTCCACATACAAGCATTGAATGAAGAAACAGCGCAATTAGAGGACGTGTTAATATTACGTGTCATTGACGGGAGGGACCATTTTATCCCGATTAGGGCTACTTGGATACCAAGTTGCTTCGGGCGTTCACTTGAGGAGCTTATTAGAGTTCCGCGTGGTGGCGGCATTAGAGCACTAGTAAAGGAGCGACGAAAAGGAGGATCGATACCTTACACATTGGAAGTACATAAATCATCACCCGGTGAGCTTTTTAAGCTTACAGAAGCCGTTCAAACCTTGGTAGAACGGGTAATAGCCGACGAAAACATGTTAGAAGAAGCAAGGGTACCACGCGACCAGCCTGGTTGGCCATTCGACGGAGGTGCGTGGCAAGCGTCTCATGCTGAGGATCATGACGAACTACGAGCAGCCATTGTTGAGGCTTTAGAGGAGGATAGATCTGTGTTAGACACTATCCGAGCTGATGTGCCGACATTAAAACGCCTCGAAATTGTGAGCGAGGTACTTCTACTGTTCCTTCGCAGCATGCTAGATGGGATCATCACTGCACCCCTATGGGCTAAGATCGAACAAGCTCTACCTAATATAGGGAGCGGGAAGACCCCTGCTGATGTCGAAGCAGCCAAGACTGGCATCCTCGATATACTGTCAACGGCGCCTTATTATAACATTTCCTTCGTATTCCTCATGTCTATGTTGACACGGGTCGCAAATGACCTAGTACCACTCAATAAGGAAGAGTTCGGGGCCTTAAATTCTCTCAAACCTACCATGGGGAGGCGCAGCCTCAGCTTTCGTCGAAGTACTGGATTAGGGACTATCGACGTGGCTGCGATACAACGAAGGTCGGCATGGGAAAGGAGAGCTTCTGAGATTTTCGGCGTAGCAATATGCAGAGCACCAATGCCAGCAAATCCGAAAGAGAGGAAGGCTCTTGAGGATAAAATGAGGGGATCCGTTGAGGTTTTCCTCCGCCCGGATGGCGTACAGGGGTGAGCCTCTACTAATAGACAGGTTATTGGGTGCGAAATAACAATAGGAGAGTGGTATATAGAGAGAAAATGCCTAAACGATTTACTCGCACATTATAAGTTTATACCTAATGCCTATAATAACTGTCTGGCGCTGATTTGATTGATATTTCGCTAACATAGGGCAAAGTTTAACCCTCATTATCATGAACCACGAGAAGTTTCTCCTCGTCGCATTAATTTACCGAACTAACAACGCCTCTTCGAAGTACAATTTTGTACTTTTGAGTAAACGATAAATGCGGTTCTATCACACTGCTGATCGAAACATGGGCCACCACAGCCAGAAGGCATCGCGCAGCTCAGAGTGATGTTTACTGTGCCTCCAACCTCAGCTTTCCTATTCGCACATACAAGTTAGAAACTCTCTAATCGGCGTAATACGCGTTATACTCACCCCGATCCACACTCCCGTTTCTGCATCAGTGAGAACCTCACCGGGTGCGCGCTCTCCTGATCGCCAACCGCAGACATTAGGGATAACAAAGGTACCGGCGTCATCCACAGTGAAGAGCCAGAAGAGTACGAGAGCCTTCTGGACTTTCTTGCTTGTGAGATATGCTAGACGAGGGAGAATATTGGTTCTTAGGAACATTCGTCCAGGCTTGTTTTCGACTATGTGAGTCATGGAGACTAATGTGTTTGAAGATAGTTACGGCAAGTGTGTAAGAATTCAAATATAACAATGAGGCTTTCTGGACACTCTCTAACATTAAAACCTAGATTTGTGCTTAACCACCGTTGTGTTTGCTTTACATTATATATTTGTGGAACATTAGATGTATTTATACTCCCAATATGCTGAGCGTAATGAAGTCAGGAGCTGCATAGTTGAATCGGTGTTGTGTGTGAGGTGTTGATACCCTACCTAGGTACTTACATGCAGGTATCTACCGCACATCATAACGAATGAAGACGACCTAACTTCTAAACTAATGAAATGCGACCTACCTAACGTAGAGGTAGACATCTCAGTAACTAAATCTTTCTCTGTCTACTATAATTTAATTATCACTAACTGAGTATCATGATAGTTTTATATTCCTTGTTCATGGATCTTCTTCCACTAAGTATTACCGATGATATTTTCTTTTAGCTCTACTGTTTGGTGACCATCACCTCTTACAACAAAACGAACAAATTTTGGATCCTGGTTTGAGCTTGTTAAGATAAGAGGAAATAGAAAGTTTCTCAGTTTTAATCTTCGATACCTGGCGTCTCTGTCGAGAGTAACTCTGGCTTCGGGCTTGGGATTATCAACCGAGGCAGTATAGCTTCCAGCTCATCCCAATCCCCATCATAATAATCACTATGCGCGATATCGTGCAGCATACCTAAAGCGGTTTCTATGTCTGTATCCAAAGCAATCCGCACGAGTTTATGACTTGTACCCAATGGACCCATCTCTCCGACAGCAATAAGCCATATAGCTTCTACGATATGCGAATCCTTTGTGAACTTCCAGTTCCCTTCGCAGTTCAACGCCTTTCCAAGCTCTTCATCATAATAAGCACGGTAGCGTTTTGACTCTGCTGGAGAGTCTGTATGGTCAGGCGTTGGCCAAGCGTACCTCGATTGGTCAAAATCTCGTGTGATCCAGTCAGGGTAGGCCGTATAACTTAGACACTGTGGCATCGTCCTGGTCATAATATCCCAATTGACGAGACCAGTAACATTGCCATTTTCGTCTACCCTAATATGGTTAGAGTCAAGATCAGGAAGGCAAAGAACAAAATTTGATGATTGCACAGTGATTGAAGAAAAAAACATAATGGCATCCATTATCAGTCTCTCGGGTTGTTCCCATGTGTCGTCTAGCGTCAACCATTTGTAACGATCCTTCAGGTATTAGGCAGGGGTAGTATCGAAAGGACCGGATGTTACAACCTGCACTGTACCATCGTCTTTCGCGTCATAATCAAAGCAGGGCAAGAAGGAAACCGAGCCAGATTCATCTTCTGAAATGGATCCTATCTTGTCAAAAGTTAAGCATGAAAACTGAGCCATAACTTTCGCAAGGATTTTTAAGATGTTAAAACGCAGGTTTTCTCGCAAGATAGCATCAGATTCCCGGAACCAGACATGAGTTACCGATGAGACGCATTGTGGCAACTTGGGATTCCATGGCGCGTGCTGCTATCTCAGTCTTTCCAGAACCCCAACCAGTGGCAGGTATACGGATATCAAGTTTAATATCATCTAGTTGTATGGTATGGGTGATGTTGTACTCCCCGACGATACACGCGACCCATTTTGCATTGGAGCCCGGTGCACCGAGAACGCGCTTACAGATATCCGAAGCGAGAAGGAGAAGTGACTTTTCGGGGATATCAACTAGAGGACCAAAGAGCTTGCGGTCCCAATCGCTGACCATGAGTCCTTCTGTCTCCATTGTATTTGCTTTGAGCAGTTTAGAGAGTAAGATGGGACGTTAATAGAAGGATTTATCGAGGTGAATATACCTAACAAGCTGGATTTAACTTACTTTATATGTTCTTTGAATGCCGTTAAGCCAAATAAAATACCACTTCATTCATGATCTAAAGTTAAATTTTGATGAGCAAGGTGTTGTTTAGGAGTCTTGCAACGTTGTTACAACGAAACAACAATAGAAGTCCTAACAATCGCTGCCTCAAGATCCAAGGACGTGGACATCCGTCTGGGGTTCACATGTTAGAGATGGCAAAATTGGTCAAATTTTTATTTTCTACAATCAGTATCATCTAGAAACAATAGTAGAAGTATCTAATCTAACCACTTCTGATGTTGTTGATCTCCTTAACCTTTCTAGAAAGGCATCACTTTAACATCGGCAACCAATTGGGTCACTTCGGCCAAGCCGCCAATCTCCTTCAAGATCTCTTGGCGCGCTGAGGCGTTCTTCGCGGCATCCAGTTCCTTGTAAGCGTATTAATATCAGTAACTTGAGCTTTCATATGCATCTAAAGAAGACTTTGAATACTAACCGCCTTGTCTGCAATTGCTCTCACGATAGCGATCTTCTTCTGAGGAAGGTTCAAGGAGCTTCCATACACACCCTCGGTGTCGCTGATCTTCTCTAGCGTCGACTGTACCTTCTTCAAGATAGCCTGCGCTTCATCGTCGGATGCATTCTTAGGGCTGATGAGCAATATATCCAGGAGAGGACGGCCATCAAAGAGATGCGCGCCGGGGTTCGTCTCAAAGACATTCAAGTCTGGTGGTCCGGATGAAAAGGGCTGTGCCGCAGCTTTATATTCCGCGTAGCCAGGGGATTCAACGAACTTGTAGAAGTAGGATACTTCAGGCCATTCTAGCAGTTGTTAGAGACTCAACAACAAGATGTGGATTTAACCAGCCCGCGTACCGAGAGCAATGAATTCTCTAAATTCGCCAGTGGTATCTTTCCCGTTTTCCGAGATTATAGCACCTGCCGCTCCTCGTAGCACGCCTCCGTCCTTTAGAGCCTTGAAAGCGAGAGGGATCGTCCCTTGTGCACCCTTGATGGATTCGGGGTCATTCTTCACCTTGGGGAAGACAAGCTCAATGATAGCCATGATGAAATAAAATAAGACCTCGAGAATGACGTGAAGATTCGATAGATGATCACTTTGTTGAACGGGACCAAGGGGGAGCGGGGGAGGGCTTAATATATGCGAGAGCGGCCGGAGCGGAAACAGCTCGCGCGTCTTTCGTATGTTAAATGCGCCGGAAATTTAAAAGCAATATATCACAAGCCTATATTAAAATTCTGTAAATTATAGTATTTAAATAGTTGTTACGAAATACCTAACTACCGTATAAACCTTTTAAGTGTGATTTTTCTCTATTTTTTTTAAATAAATACTATAAATTAATCCATTAGTTTATCACCGATCAGATCCCAATCACCGATCAAATTGATGTTATTGCCGAAGGTACTATGAGGTAGGTACGTATTAGTTCCCGAATGATGCAAATGTTCTCATTTCTTCGTTTGCCCGCAGAGGTTGTCGCGCATCTGCATCAATTACACCATCCGGATTCCGGACCAACAAATGAATCGGGATAACGCCTTGATTAGGTAGGTAGCCAACTACATCTTGTTGGGTATGTACCTCAAATGTCATTACGTTTACCCTCCAGGTCTTTTGCGGCTAATTATTTGCTTACAGCTTACATCAGTAGTTCAGATGATTCTTAATTGACACCAGTCGTCCTACTTCGTGTACTCCTCATCATATAAGTCCCCGACGTTGGATATGTGGAGACAAAGAGCTCCGTTCTAAAACCCCGCAGCGGATTGCGAAATATTGTTACTATGGGAGGCTTCGGGATAGAAATCATACCGTACGTGAGCGCTAAATATTCCTATGAGCTACGATATTGCTATGTCTCTGCTATGTCTCCGCAACGTCCAACATAGTGTCCCCTATTCCAAGAGACATAGCCCGGAATATTTTATTTCAATGTATGACTTACGGGTTAGCACGTTTAGTTTGATGCACGTCATCCTCCCGACATACGGTATTATATCATCCCGGGGTAATATCACCAACGGAAACTCCTCGGGCGGACTTAATAACTAATAGTTTTGAGCGAACCTCCTGCACCTCTGTATCCTAGGTGCTTCTTTAGAGTCTGTAGTGATACTTACATCACTGGGTGATGATGTGTACCTATGAAGGGTACGAAAGTGATAAGACAGACTTACCGCCTGTAAAATATTGCACAACTCTAGGAGTTCCTCTAACTATTTGAGTCTACTATATTGTATATGTCCACTTGGGATTACTCTGCCCCAAATAAAGAGCTCTAACTAAAGAACGTGGCGAGGTTAATTGGGCTAGTGTCCGTACCGATTGGATTATTTCAAAGGAGACAATGGAAGACGTTTGTTTTTCAAGGTAATTGGAAATATATACATTCCCACAGCCCCGACTAGTAACCAACCAGCCAGCATGATTGCACTCATGGGGCGGAGCAAGGTAGCTTCGGCGATGCCTAACAACAGAGACCCTCAACAAACCATGCAAATCCATATAACAGCATCAAATAGTAAAACATGAGAGATGAAATTTCTACCTGCATTCCTTTTAGTCTTCTTATGCCTTGAGGCAGCCATTACCATCCCGTAATAATAGTCCTAAATGATTCGATAGACATAAAATGGCTAACAGAACGACAGCCGGGAATTACCCGGACTCTTGTCAAACATTATTCTCCGATTTAATACTTTCATGAAAAGACTATACCTTTCTCTTTTTCCAAACTTCCATTTAGGTATCATACCTTACGTTCCATCGTCATAAATAATGAAGAGGATATGGTCTTTCATTCATTACTTGGCCCATCTAGAGTGGAAGGAAAAGGTGCAAACATACTGCATCTTTTGTGACCGAAGTAGATTTGAGGAGAACATTGTCTACGAGGTGCATCTTGACAAACATCAAATATAAATAATACTACATTATACTAACGCTGCTACTTAGGACGACGATCTTATTGCGATAAATAACATCCGCAAAGCGGGGCGCTATCACTGGCTGATAATGCCCAAGTTGCATACCTGGCGCGACGTCGAGAAGCTGGAATTTGAGGATGCGCCGCTAGGTCGGTAATCAGTATATCATAGAAGGAGTTGTAACTAAGTTGTGTCTAGTCGACTCCATGGTGGAACTAGGAGAATATCTCCTGGAACAGAACTGTCCTACCGTTCCACCCGCCAACGTACATATCGGATTCCACCGTGGTCGCCGTGTTCTCTTCAGAGATATTTACTGGCCTGATATCGTCTCCATACACCATCTTCACATGCATATCATCGTTGAGCCTCGTTTATGGCTGAAGCTATTCAAATACCCTTCGTGGCTGCCGTTGATGTGGAAGTCCGAGAAGCAAGTGATGCAAGAACTAAAGGGAAAGTCGAGGGAAAGTGGTAAGTCAAGGATGACGAACCTGCTTAGCCGCATCCTGTTATATGGGTCGTTTTCTCGTGCGCGTTGACCTGGACCTGTTATATTATGCTCATATTTCAGCCAATATTTTACTGTACTGTCGTAGTAGGGATTTAGAATATAACATCGCAAGATGAATAGACATCCTCGGGGTGTGTATTCTTGTTTCCACCCCAAGCCACAATGGATACCCGAATAAAGGTTATCTAGTCGATAGTTCTTCGAGCAATAGTAAAGCTGATTTCTTACTACTTGGTGCGCATCGTTATATACCTGCCTAAAACCCTGTATTTTACTGCTTGAATCTGACTTACTTCAAGGATAACCTAGGTGCTTGTTTACCGTCCCTCCTTTTCCTGCACGTGTATATGATCACCAATGGGGTATTTCTTCCTTTGAAGAATTATTCTTAAGACGCACCAGATGTGTACCTACCTATTAACGTTGTAATTGGTATTGCGAGGATATTTATCTCAACCATCTCAACAATGGCGCTTGTCTAGGCCGATTTATTACTTTCTGTTAATAAGCCCCGACAAGGGGCCTGCATATATGAATCCCGGAATAGGTGATAGCGATTTAACGGTGTACTCCTACTATAGGTACACGAGTTGGTATTATTAAATTTCACCAATTAACTAACAGTATAAGTTCTATCTATGTATCAAATGAGTGTATAACTAATGTAGCGTAGCTAGCCTTGCAGTTATCCCTAACAGTTATAAATTTAAGATACTACAGGTATTATACTACGTACAGTAGAGAGATCACCTTATATTAACGTTCAGCTGGTTGGGTGATACGAGGAACCTAGGGCTAGATCTGCGATATTTTACCATGATAGATTCCAAGTGTAAATATAGTATAAGCCTCAAAGCGATTGTAGTCGCACCCTTACATCCTGTTGCATGGTATCCCATGGCCAATATCGCCCCACGATTGTATTACGCCACTAGCTAGGTCAGGGTAGTTCGCCTCGTGGTAAGAACCATCCGAAGTCAGCGCTACGGCCCACAGCTATCGGGATATCAGTGATTGCGAATAGATGGGGCTGAAACTCTAGGAACTGTTACTATGCAACCCGAAGCGGCGGCGCTTGTATGCATGGGGGCATGGGGCATGGGGCATGCAAGATCAAAGCTGAAGTGGGTTTGACAGGTTGGGTTAGGTACCTAGATAAACCACCAATTAGTTACACAATATGTTTATGTTACACGATAGAGCCGAGCGATAGCTCACGATAATGTCTGTTCCCGTTGTATTTGACAGACCATGTACGTAGGCTGAGGCCGCGTCAAGACGTTTCACCATCTGATTGAACGCTCGAGTTTCGTCAGCAACAGCTTCCACCGTGATAATATAACCCCGGGATTATTATAAATGCACCTGATAAACATAGAATGGGATCTTTCATAAGGTATCATATTATGTATACAAGTCTTCGTAGACATGTTGTACCTACGCGTACTAGAGTAAAGGGTAGGCCTAGTAAAGGGAGATCATACAAGTAGATCGGGGAACTCCAGCTTGAGCTTCGCGCTCCGCTGATTAGCAGCCCTGCCGTTAGCTTCAGATATGGTCGACAGGGGATCCGAGCATCCGTTTGGAGAAAATGGAACGTTGCTATTGGACAGTATATTTCCTTATCTCTGGGCACCATGCTTGGCAGGCCTTGGCCCGATCCCATCTTATTCCTGCCGTATCTGCCTGCTGTCTAAGCTGATTATTACGTTTGTTACCGGCTGAACTGGCAGATAGGTATGGCTGAAGAAAACAATGATCTGTTTTGCTTCTAGGTAGAAGTCTTGATATTCGATGAATTAGGTACCTTAAGAGGTATTCAGGAAGCGCCCGACCAGATTGCTAGCGAAACTACCTAAGGTAAGGGATGATGCAGCTATCTTTGGGACTATTTCACAGATGGCTTTTTTAGTTCCAACTCACTGCTCTCCAACGGATCTTCTTTTACACCCTACAAAGCCAAGGAATGATCGACCCTTGATGTTCGAGCTGTGCGACCAACGTCACGTCTTGACCGCTCGACCTGATCCCGATATGGACGAAGTCTAGGATCACCTGCTATGAATTCGCGAACATGTCTTTAAATAGCCAAAGATTTTTGGGTATGGGTTTATCGTGATGGGTCAATGAGAGAAAGCTGCTCGGACCCGACAACGTTTCAATTTCAGGGATTTAAACAAATGGCCTTTTGAGTTCCAAGTTATTTTCATTCACTAACTTGAAAGCGCGCCTAATAAGACCGCCACGAGTCGTAGACCGACTTTATCCCTTCTTCTATTGCCACACCGAATGTTCGTCGCCTTTTAGATGTCTTAGACAACCGTAGATTTTCGCCGTGGCTTCCTTCGTTACGGAGCCACGTGGTAGCTGGTACAATGTGCCATCCTTGATGTATAGGTACACATTTCATGCGAGTCTGCATTGGTACTGTTGCCGTGTTCCCTGATTCCGAGACATACAGCGTAGCCCTGAACGGAAAGTCCCCGCGTAGTACCGATTCGATTAAGGCGATTTGAGACGGCTTGTCGGTGTGTTGATACTTTTTATTCAAGTTCAATATATACTTGGCCCCTATTAAACTACAAAGCACTTGATAAGCCTGACTCTTTTTAGCATCCGAAGTGCCATAGGTCATATCTCTGATTGTAGATCTCAGTAATAGTAATGACATGCTACCGTTAAGACGGTTAGTAGCCCGGGCCACAGTAAGATGATCGGTTTTACATTAGATACGGCTGCTTTCTCGGAAAGGATCGAAGTTGTCGTTTCTCACATCTTGGCAATTCAAGTCCAAGAACGCCACAGACCCATGACTTCTTTAAAGACTAGCGGTGGAATCCTACTGCTACTTGTCTTCTCATTTTAGTGGTGATACTCCGGCCACGCAGCCAGACAATCAGAATGGCGTCAAAATAGATGGCCCATTCTTATGTATTAATTAAAGTACCTACCTAATAACATACCTTTTTCTAGTCTTATCTTCTCGACGAAAACAACAACAGTAATAAAAATAATAAAATGTCCTGTTAAAATAAGGTTATTAAATTCTAAGGAGAAATGGTAAAGTTATTGATGTTATAATGGTTATGTTTTTTGACGGCATTCTGACAATGTATTCGGTCGCCTATCTGTAAGGTCCCCCCCCGTAATCCGTAGACCCCTCCCAGCCACGATGCCAAGAATAGCAAGGTTAGCACGAGAGCCCACCGTCTTCTCGGGTCCTTATCAGTAACTCCACTAGGAGACTCCTCCACTAGCTACCTAGACCTATCAATAGCCCTTTAAAATGACTGTCGAAGGCATCTGTCAGGGGGTTTGATATCTCTTTCGTTTAGAGCTGAACTACGATATCGCAGATATCTACGGAATACCTAGACCTACCTAAGGTAAACCGTAAGAACAAAGAACCTTGGTATAACCTTGGTATCACCTTGGTATCACGTCCTTGTCCTTTTCATGTCGCATGGGTCGTACAAGCTACGCAGATGGGACTAACTCACTTGTACCCGTTCCCCTCCTGTTACATGTACGGAGTACAGATAACAACTGAAGTGACGCATGTAGTGTACATAACATATACATCAATAAACATGTCTTGCCAATCGAGGGAAGCTCCCCCAACAGTGAACAGTTGAACAGTGAACAGTGAATAACGAGCTGAGCCGTATTTAGGCACTGGCACCCGCCACTGGCATCCTCTTGTAGCAAGACTTCATTTCCTCTTCTCTCCCTTCCTTGTGTCTTATTCCGTCGTCAAAATTAGGTAATATCGCGACGCCCGGCTTTTCGAGACGTGTGTCTCATCGAGGGAGGATATTCGATCTCGCGTTTTCTGTTCCACGCAGTGGCTGGCCTCCTCATTCGCAGCGATATCAGCATGTCTGCCAGCTTGTACGTTACGCCGTACAATGGCACTATCGGAGATGCTGATGCCGGGTATACCACCGGCGTCACAGATCTCAATCAATTCTACGAGGTACGATCATAAAAAATTAAAAAAAAAATGGATTAGTAGGAGGAAATTATACGAAGAAGAAAAGTACTAAATATTCTTCTATTCTAGAGCGGCGACTTCGCCTGGATTATGACCTGCGCTGCCCTCGTCCTTCTTATGGTTCCCGGTGTCGGCTTCTTTTATTCAGGCCTTGCGCGACGCAAATCTGCGCTCTCGCTAATTATGTTGGCCATGCTGTCCATCGCCGTCGTCGACTTCCAGTGGTTCTTCTGGGGATATAGCTTGACCTTTTCCCATACCGGCAGCAGCTTCATTGGCGATCTCTCCAACTTCGGCCTCATGAAGACCCTCGCTCAACCCTCCGTCGGCAGCACCAAGATTCCCGATCTCTTATTCTGTCTGTACCAGGGCATGTTCGCCGCTATTACGTGAGTTCTCCGTGGGTTAGGTGGTGTCGTAACCTTAGAAGTCCTTTCCCGCATCAAGTTTCTAACGTAGAAGCGTATACGATTCAGACCAGCCCTTGCGATCGGTGCCGCAGTCGACCGCGCACGTGTACTTCCATGCATCGTCTTCATGTTCATATGGGCCACCATCGTGTATGATCCTATCGCATACTGGACGTGGAACGCCAACGGCTGGTCCTTCAAGATGGGTGGTCTGGACTTTGCTGGTGGTACTCCTGTCCACATCTCGTCCGGCGCGGCCGCCCTTGCGTTTTCCGTCATGATCGGCAAGCGGACTGGATACGCAAAGTCCGCTGGTCTACCCTATCGCCCGCATAACATCACTCACATCGTCCTCGGTACCGTCTTCCTCTGGGTCGGTTGGTTCGGTTTCAACGGCGGTTCCGCTCTCGCTGCCAATATGCGCGCTGTCATGGCCTGCATCGTCACGCATCTAGCCGCGTCTGTTGGAGGTATCACGTGGACCCTTCTTGACTACCGTCTTGAGAAGAAGTGGTCGGTCGTGGGATTCTGCTCTGGTGCAATCGCAGGTCTCGTAGCCATCACGCCCGCTGCCGGTTTCGTTACCCCCTGGGCCGCCGTCATCTTCGGCATTGTAGGAGGCATAGGCTGCAACTTTGCCACTAAGCTCAAGTTTGTCATGGGCGTAGACGAGGCGCTTGATATTTTTGCTGTTCACGGAATTGGGGGTATTATCGGAAACCTTCTAACTGGTCTTTTTGCAGCGTAAGTTATAGCCTTCCTTTATATGAAATCGGCTAGATACTAAGAAGACACCACATTGTAGCGACTATATCGCAGCCCTTGACGGTTTCACGGAGATCCCAGGCGGGTGGATCAACCACAACTACGTACAATTAGGGTACCAGATTGCGGACTGTGTAGCGGGGTTCTCCTACTCTTTCGTTCTAACGTGTGTGATCTTGTTCGTCCTGAACCTGATTCCAGGCCTGAGCCTGCGCGTTTCGGCCGAGAATGAGGAGGTCGGCATTGACGACGACCAGTTGGGTGAGTTCGCATACGACTACGTCGAGTTGCAGCGCCATACTAGCGACGTCCTCGCAGGCTCAGCTGAGGTGCCGACCCCTAACGCCGGTCGTGCAGGCTCCTCTAAGAGCAGCGAGGGGCCTGAAAAGATGGTTTAACGAGGAATGATACTTGATTTGCGTTGTTTCGAAATGTGGCAAGTGAACATATATTAAACTAGCCAATACGTTTATCGAAGTGAATACAGGGGAGTCAGCATACTACATAGAAAAGGGGCTACGACATTAAAAAGCATATATGATATAGCAGGTGTCTTAATTATTTTGTTCGTATGGATGAGCCCCCTTTACTCTATTTTTGAGTTTACACATCGAATTATACCCTGTTGCACACTTTTTATCAGAACCATTTAGTAGTATATCATCAAACCAAGAGAAATCTTATGGTTCCTATAATTAAATGCTCCATTACTACCATATTAATTCCATCACAAACTAGTATCTGTCACTGTACTAGTCTTATGCGGCATTTCGTATCCTATTATTGCTACTACGCAATCGCTTAAGTTACCTTCGTATATATGATGTTGACTATTAATATCCTAAGCACTGTCAGAAACCAGTCACGTTGTGTTAAGCCAATATAATTCGTCAGTGAATATTATACCTTATTATGTTCTCGAACTTGGCACAGAAACCCCAGTATTTACCTCCATTTTACGCATACCCGTCATCCTTTTAGAAACCTGAGATCTGGTACAACATTCCTATCTAGCCAGAGTAGTTCCATTCTGCTAATAGATAGAGGCCAGCCCGCATTCCTCGAAAACAATGGGTGTAATTAGTCCTTTGAGCAGACTGCCCTCGTCTACCAACTCGGCGGTACCCAACATAAAGAACTGCCGAATGCGGTATACGGATTAGTCTAGGGCTTCGAACCAACCATTCACCGTAAATATATACCCAATCTAACTTGAGGTCCTTTTTACACCCCTTTCCGACGCATATAGCACCCTTTTTCAAGAGCTATTCGGGGAGAAATAATAGTCGCTAACCTAGTACCTCCCAGCATCAGCGGTTGATCACTTGCAGGTTCAATCATGGCTTACAACAACAATCGCCAGGGCGATCCATACGATAATATATACGACGTTAGCGATGGTAGCGATGTCGCCGACGAAGAGGTATACAATACCTTTAATCAACTAAACTTGACCAATAATGCCGGCACATCCCAGGGGAGAGATTTTAATAGTTGGTGGCGGCAAAACTCACAGGATAATGCATCTCAGGCTCAACCACCGCAACCACCGCAACCACCGCAACCATCGCAGAGAAATTTTGGTGGTCAACGGAGACAACCCGTACAAAAAAATCCATCCCAGGGGAGAGATTTTAGTAGTTGGTGGCGGCCAAACTCGCAGGATAATGCATCTCAGAATCAACCACCGCAACCATCGCAGAGAAATTTTGGTGGTCAATGGAGACAACCCGTACAAAAAAATCCACCCCAGGAGAGAGATTTTAATAATTCATGGAGACAACGGGATCAGCGGACTAAGGAGGTTGAACCCGAACCCGAACAGGAAAGTATTGCCGGACCATCGCGAAATACAGGTAACGAGCAGGTACAGCCACGGCCACGGCCTGTTTCGAAGTTGATTCAGCACGGGCGGTCGACTCCGGGGTATCCTCGTTGGCGTCGCACCCAGAATGAGACTGATGAAATAGGTCGGGTAGAACGGTGGGGGCGTTCAAATCGTCGGCCTGCTACCGCATTTCCAGTTACCTTGAGGCCGCGTATGGCAAGAGTCGATGATGAGACAAAGAACAGAATACAGACGCGTGGCAAATGGTATATGGAGTCACTAATGAACACAAGCCGCTACTATGTCAGGGAACCGTCCGAGAGGATGCCGGTGTCGCAAGGTGAAGAACACGAGCCCTACGACCTCATGATAGTCCTTAAAAACGCCCACAGATTACAAGAGCCAGAGGATTTTGTAGATGCCATAATGCGCGAGCTGTCAAATACGGGAGAGTATTCACGGGATAGAGGTGCCACCGATAATCCGGCCACTGGGGAGAAAAATGTTAGACGAATGCACGCGAACACAACGGCCTGGGGACTCCTAGAGGATTTTGACCTTATTCTCGCAGAATTAAACAAACTCCAAATTGAATTAGAAACTTCCAACCGGGGTAACGCCGCCGATCGCCTATTCTCATCGATAGCTGAGGCGTACGATTGGGATGTTGAAGAGCTTAGGAAGTCGGGATTCCACCAAGAGATTATGACTTATGTAGGGTCTACGATGATGGGACGACTGCGGTACATGAGAGATCATTATCGCAAGGAGAGAGGTCCCGTCACCCACGGCGTCAGGGACTTGTTAGATGAAACGAGTATAACCCTTTCAACGCGATATTTCAGCGCTTTCGTCCATTCGGCATCCATGTCTGATGATGTTCGAGCGGTCGAATGGTTTAGCAATTGGGCAGTACATTTCCCTGGCCGCCACAATAGAGAGTTTCCCACCCCTCAGTTGGACTCTGCTACGGCAATCGGCCTTTTCGAGACTGTCTATAAAATCAAATACGAACATGCAGTTCGACTACGTATGTGTTAATAGCTCTGGTCGTCCCATTCCAACTTCCGAAACTGACCCCTTTTAGTCTCTGATGCTGGGTTCGCCGAAGATGTAGAGGTAATCGATGGCTTTTTATCCTACAAGGGTACTATAGAGTCTACAGAGCCGGCGAGGCATCATGAACTTGCTAATCTTGTTCAACAATATTTTACACCGTATGTAAGACGGTTGAATGATCTTCTCACCAAATACCCAGAGACCAATAGTGTACTCTGGCAGAAATACCGAGCATATCCCACCAACGTTTACGAAGCACGCACCCGGCTCGTACAGTATATGAATAATACGAGGCCCCCTACATATGTTGGCATAGGCCGATGGTGTAGGCATGCAGCACCACCAGGGATAAGTGAAGTTACATCAGAAGGAAGAAACATGGGGATGGAATTGTGGACAAAAGGCTGGTATTGTATCAATCATCGTCCGTGGATTAGATGTACCTCTTGCGGTTGGAAATATTCATGTGTCATATGTACAAACCCGCATTCCTGTCCTCATTGCAAGACAGGCTTTAGATGTACCTGGGATGGATGTTGGAAGAAATCCGATGATCGCCCGGCTGGGACGAGAGCCCGAGCTACGTATGTAAAGGTCCAGATCTACCATGGTGGCAATACTAAAACTATTCTCATAGTTACCAAGTGGCTGCGACTACAAACCCAGAGGGCTGGCAACAAAATGGTAGGCGAATTACGCCAAAGCTTCGAGAGAGTCTCGAAGATTTGGATCACCCGCCACGTTACCGGAAGTTTTTCCCAAAGACCGTAGAAGATATACCAGAAGACGGCCCAATCTATGCTAAAAATATAACTAGGAGTAAGTTTTTCTTCATATTCAAAAAAGGAAAAAATAAGACCTTCAACTAATGTTTCGCAGAGTTTCACGACCAAAGACATATACATACCGGTGGATGGGACCGGAAGAACAAATATCCAATCAGACTGTACGTAATAAAGAGAGCACTATTGCCTCTTCTCTATCCGTCCTCCTTTGGTAGAGTCATGGTTTTTGAGATCTCTTCCCTAACCCACCCCCTACTTATACAAATTGGGGTACTAACTTATACGATTGCGATAGTCATGAGTCCTATGATCCGAGTCTTGGTGGTGAAGGAATCAAATTTGTTCAGCCGTGGGAAGTCCCTCAACGTCCCGGAGAAGTCTCTCAAGGTCCCGGACAAGTCCCTCGACGTCTTAAAGATGTCACTCAACAGCCTTTGGGTGGTGGTCAGGCCAGTATGGCTCTGGCTGAGAGGAGTATATCAGACAAGGGAGGAAAGCGCAAGAGGGAGGACGATGACGAGGGCCTTCTGGGAGATTTGGTCTCCGCGCTGCACACGGCGAGGAAGGTGAAGCGCTGAAAGACTTCGAGATATTGCTTTGTTACTTTTCCTGCCATGTATTGAATACAGTCCACGCTTCTTGCTACGAACTAGTAGCAGTAATATATATTCTCGACTTGCGTCTTGAGACTATCATCGAAAAAGCAAACGAAGACCAAGGCTGCTAAACTCGACGTAATCTAAACTGGGAGTTAGATCGTAGATACAAGTTAAACCGAAACTTCATATTGGGGTAGTTAATGTCTATCAATTCTAATGTCTTTAGTCGATATACGTGCCGCAACCCCCCTAACCCATTGTGATATTCCCAAGATACGCCCAGACAACCTAGTCCTAGATACCAATCACGTAGCTAACCTTGTCGAACTCGCCAAGCTCGTCGGGCAGCGCCTTGGTATACTCGAGGAGCATCTGCCGCTTTTCAAAGTCCCAGAATATATTCGTCCACGTGTAGCGGTCCTTGGCCGGGATCAAGCAAGCGGGATCTATCGGGTCCAACTGCCCTTCGAGCTTCATTATGCCGGTCACGACGCTCGCGAGGTTCTCGCTATCCCAGGTTGCTTCGCGCCAGTCGCAACGCATTAGCAACTCCACTGCCTCCTGTCGAACACTGGCCTTCCGACACTTCATCCCTATGAAAGCTAGCAAAGGCAATCGACCGGCTTCGTTGATGAACCCTATCTTTGTGGTTACTTCCGATGGGAAATCTGCGAATTGCTTGCATCGTTGAACCACGTCTTCGAACTGGGGTATGTATTGATCGTACATCATCTCTGTCGAATCGAAACAACACGATGTAGATACAGACGCTATCGTGTGATGCATCCGCAACAGCTCGAGGCCTTGGCGATCGCGGCTGTCTACGGTACTAAATAGCAACGAATCTAGCGCGACGCCTAGGTCGTTTAGTTGAGCCAGGTACATGGCTTGCTCGCGGAACGCCGCGGGCTCGTCGAAGTCGTATTCGAGATTCGAATTGTGCCACGCGATTTTGCTCTGGAAACTTGCGATCTGCACCATCAGATGATCCCATATTTGCCTCGCTTGCTCGAGCGTCTGCGGAGCCGAAAACGTGAATGGGCCGTCTAATCCGGTGTCGCCGTCTTCGTCTTCGTCCTCGGTAAGTAAGATGTGGTATGCGAATTTCCCGTGCGCGAACGGGACACACGCGGTTGTGACGCTATGGCGTGCAAACATAGTAGTCATCTCGTCCACCTCGTCTCGCGGGGCCGACAGAGATCGATACCATTGACGCCGTAAAATAGATTTCGAATCTCCGCCCCGTATATTCTTCATAACTTTGATACCGCTACGTATAAGATTACCAGAACTGAGATAGTTCCCTTGCATATTCTCAAACACTATAAATAAGAGGGTTGCCGCCATTGTTAAACGTCCGTCAATCCCAAATGTCCTGATGTTAGATCGTAGATGAGAAAGCGCTTTGGCATGATGTACAAGGGCCGCCTGGTGATGTCGATTCAGTACCGACGGAGGCCACCACGTCCGACATATCTTTCCGTTGACCGTGTACCCCTCGCGGAGGTCCATAAGAGCACGACCATAGGCACCTATACTAAGAATAGAATGATGAATGCATCTGTTGACCATGCTATCTCGAAGAGACGTCTGGGACCAGAAGCTCGACCGAAAGTAAGGTGAAAGTTCTTGAGATATTTGGTCCCTAAACAGAGTAAAGTACCACTTGTCGTCGTCGTTCAGTTCAAAGCCAAAGGTGGGCATCAGTGGAGTTGGCGACCGATAGTCCACCGGCTGAGACAGAGCAGCAATCTTGGCTGGCTGTACCGAGGCAAGCTTCGGCTTTGGCAATAGTAATCTTTCAGGTCGACAAGAGGCTGCCTTGATTTTAGGCGGAGCATAGCCCTCGCACATAAGTCCAAGACGCTCACATTCCGCGCAAGACGGCTTTCCTTCGTCACATTTGACCTATAGACAATCGAGTTAGTAGCTGTAATGCATGGTAGCCAACAGCCTGTCAACAAGGAGTAGTTGTGACTATCATAGCCACCAATTCACGGCCTGATAACTTCCCCCAGATAGTCGAATAGCAGAGGAACTAGAAGTTGCAAAGATGAACTGACATGTCTTCTTTTACAGCTAATACAGCCTATCGTACGGTGGAGAAGATCTTAGCTAACTGGTCCCATCTTGAGCTTATCGGGGATAGATAGTTTACCTGTTCGGACTTTGGGCTTACTCGCCCTCTTCCTTGTGGGTTTTAATCCGTCGCATCGTCGACTACTCTTTTCCGACGAATCGGAAGTCTGTGCCGACCGTTGACTGAGGCTGCTGGGGCTGTTCCGACGAGTCTGTCTCATGTCGGCTGACGGGAAATGTCTTGAATTATGGGTTGTCTTAATCTACGACGGCTTTATTTCCGTATAGTATAATAGTTGTGACCTCGTTTTACCGTTATTTTGCGTCGCGAACCTGATTCGAAGCGCGATGATGACCTGACCGGCGGACGTAGTCGACTGATTACTTATCCGTCAAATAATATGTAAATTTGTAGGCCAGTGCGCGTGGGTGTCTGGTAAGCCAGGTTGATGCAGGGGTTCGGCTCCAAAAACTGGGATACCTAGTCGCTGGCGATAGTGTAGCTATGGAGATCGTATACATAAATAAAGTATATTGCCCAGATTCTAGTCTGGATGGTAACGTCGTAATAGGGGTAGCTGGGGAAGTTATTTCGTATTATTAATTATGTAAGGTACCTAAGGACATGATCGAATTGCGGCATTCGGACTGGTCGAGGACTCGGACTGGTCATAGTCACTAGCCCCGCAATGTGGTAAGATGAAGTTCCATCGGTCAAGGCTGATTCTACATATGTATGTATGTTAACAGGGCTTGTGTTGGCATGGTGTGGCATGGCGCTGGCACGGCTAGCAGCTTGGTGGCATGTGGATAACATGTGGGCATCATTAATAGCATCATGGGCCATGGCAGCATGGCCCAGAAAGGTCCAGCAAGGCCATGCATAGTATTCCCATAGTATTCTGGCAAATCATACCCGAGCATAAGAAAATAAGCGTTGCCTAAATCGATCTCCGTGGAAATCCATCTAACGGGGGTCCGTACACATGGGAAGTTCCCATGGTTAATAAGCAACTGTATTAATCTCAGACCATGAAACGTTATATATGGCCATAATAGGAACAGCAACAACAAGGCAAGCCTAGTTGCTGTTCGCCCCCATCTTTGGGCTGAGATGCCGGCGGGTTAGCTCGTACCACATGATATCGTAGTTTTGTATTATATCTGTACATAGCTATCTCAGCCCTAAAAAAGGGGACCATTCATTGGTCGACCCCGGACGCATTAAAATAGGAGTCGTCAACCATCCTAGCTTGGCAGTTTGTTTGGGTCGGTCAAGCTTACATATGTGAGACCCGCAAAGTCGCAACCTTCAATGTCTACCATGGCGGCGGAGATAATGGTATCCCGGGTACCAATCCTTCCCCGGCCGATGTCTAGATCGGCAGGACTTTCTCACTGTGCGGTACCCATATAAGGCAAGTCCGGAACAGCTCTCGTGATTTTACATGCCTCCTTTTGTACCTAACATAGCATGATGTTTCAATATTACCTACCACCATATTACCTACCACCAATGGAACGTCTTAATCACCGATGTGGTTCGGAAAAAAGATATCTAATTCGACGTTAACCGAGACAAAGTTTTATAGTAAACGCCCCTCATCATCTAAGTCGTGGCTCTCTCCCGCAAACACGTTTTCAAGGTACACCCCTAGTTAGTATGGGGGCAAGAAATCTTAGTGTATCTATCATAATACATACGGTAATCGGTAACAAGCCAACGGTATTGGATAGAAAACCGTTACACATAAGTCCCGTCTTACCAAGTACACCTCGTACTAAGTACCTAAGCAGGTATCTAGGTGGTACACAATGTATACCTAAAGCAAACGAAATTGTCCGGGCACGTGGGAAATGATCCAAGTATGATTCTAGAAAAAGTTCAGTGCTACGAAATGATACCTAAGTATTCGTACAGACCCGTATGTAACTCAACTTTAGTGGAGATTAATCAAGCTTAAATATACCCTGTCTAAGGCACATATGCGGCGTATGTAAGCGGTTAAACTCTGATTGGCTAAGATTTACGACTATTCGTACAAAATGCACCGATCCAAATACAAACCCTTTTCATAGCCTCAAACAGCGCCTCAAAGATGCAAAGAATAGAAGCCTTCATTTCTCCTTATGGCTTGGCATCATTAAGTAGCCCTAGGAGTAAAAACGGGTAGGTAAAACATGTCCGCGCATAGACATTTTCCAGACTCCTTGTATGTAACCCCTTTCCGCTTCCGGAACCCCACACAGCCGCGGACCGCGGGATTCGGCATACGGGAGCTAAACTCCATTTAGGCACCTACATGTGGTCTCATACCTCAGTTTCGACGCCGGTGTCTTTCTCCCCGTGATGGAATATTCCGCTGATATTTCCTTTGAGCCTGCTTAGCTTCTCCCCGACATGGTTAGCCTCTCTTGCTGGCCTCCACTGCATGATGCCGCGATGTTTGCGGTGAAGCTGTTTGTGGTGGTCTTTGTAGTCGCGCAGCTGGTTTCGGACTCCTCTAGATCCATCGTCTGGGCTGTTATGCCCCGGCGCCAGCACCGACGTAGCTGCTTCGCTAACTCCGTCTACGGGGTTGCGAAAGATATTCTTGACTTTTTTGACTTTCTTGATATCTGAAAAGAATAAGTGAGAAGAGCTCGACGTTCCGGATCCGGCGCCTTCGCCCTCGTCGTCGGAACTAGAGCGCGATGAATCATCGTTGGTGTGGACACGGAGCTTTTTCTTGCGTGTCTCATCTTCTGAATCGGCATCACTCGTCATATCGCCTTCGTGTTCAGATTCGTCTTCGTCTTCGTCGTCATCAGCATCGAGCTTTTCGTCTGTGATTGTGTCTAAGCATTCCATAACATTCCGTAGGTCATTATTCTTAGCCTGAGAAGCATAGGTCTTGTGATAGCCAGATAGACCACGCCAAAATTTTAATGATAGCTCAACTTCGCCTAGAGGTTGTTCACCATCGCCCATGCCATTGTAGCCGTAGCATGACTGAGCTTTGCGGAGGCCATCCTTCGATCCTTTCCACACTTTTAAGGTTCGTATTTCGCTCTCCTCATCGGCGATCTCGTGGAGCCACATGACCGCAAAGGCGGCTGTTTTATCCGGCCCAAGCACGGACTTGCGGAATTCGATCACCACGGCCGAAGCATATCGCTTGCGCACTGCCAAGAACACAGCCTCTTGCTCCTTTCTGCCCTTAGACACCCACTGCCCATTTTCGGGATACATTTTCGCCTGTCCTAAGTTCGTGCGTATCTTGATGCGATGCTCCGTCAATGACCGAGGCAAATCGTTTTTCGCCTGAATGAATCCGCGTATCTCTAGGGTCCCATAGTCCCATCCCCTGAGATTTGGTGGCAGTTTAAGCTCCACGCTTCGCCAAACCATGCTAATACGAGCCCGACCGTATCCAATGCCTCCAACTACTATAATGCCATGTTAGTATCTAAATGTAACGACATAATGCGAAAATAGTATGCGATCTCAACTTACAAGGGTAATTTTGCATCACCTGGCTCTTTTTTGCAAACACCTTCGCCAGGGGAAGATAAACAATCCCTATCAGCGGGTCGTCTTCCCGCTCGCGAGAGTCCCACACACTAATGATAACCTCGCTATCTCTCCAGTCCCGAACAAATCGCTCGGTTCCAGCATTGAAAAAAGGTTTTGAATTCTTCGGCTTAGTTCTTGTCCTATAGATCTTTTTGTGGTTGAATATGACGGTACAGTAGCTGTCGGGCATGTCGTCGCTCTGCTCAGCTTCATCCTCGTTATCGCCGCCGTCTCCTTTATCTTCCTTTTGAAGCCTCTGTATTTCGAGCCCCGTGATGTTGTGGATCTGGATGCTGAGAATACCCGAGACAAATTCATCAGATGGAGGGGCTGAGATAATCATGGCTTCTTCAAGTTCCCTGTAGTCTTGAGCTTTCTGTTGCTTCACTTCGTCATCATCCGATGGCTTGCCGGCCTCCCGCAGCTTGTGCTCAGATAATTCCGAGACGTGTTGTCTAAGTTGATCGTGAGTTCTTATTTCTCCGTCGACGGTTTGCTGTTCAAGTTGTTTGGGCGTGATTCTTATCTTCGAAAAATATCCGACAGACCATAGTAACGAACCTGGCATCGTCTCGTCGGGATCTTGGCCAAAAAATCTATCCTCACGGTCTCGAAATTTGTTCGGACGTTTCATAAGAGACTTGAGGTCTACCTCTACTCGGCCTAGATCGTCGTCTGCCGACCATTTATCCGAATCCCATAGTTGGAGCCGCAGCTTTTCCTCGGCGTTCACCTCCTCTGGAGTCACTAGAATGCTTGCCCATTCATTCCAATTTGGCTCATCGTCACACGTAATGATGCGAGTCGAAGCAACAGGTTTACCGAATTTACCCCACGATACAGTAACATACGAATCGCTCGAGCCTTTCATAGGCCCGATCCCGCCATCACCTTGTTTAAAGCCGCGCGCCTGCTTAATGAAAATCCAGACGACACCTAAGCTAGTCGTATCCTTCTTAAAATCTTCTCCTACAAGCATGTCCTTGAGGTTCAAAGTTAAGCTCTTAGGAGCCACATATTCCGCGAGAGCAGCATCGATTGCCGAGTTAACGAAAGAAGATATCAATGGGACATCCGTCAAGCTAAAGCTATGCTTTGAAAGAGGGACACACGAGAGACTAGCCTTTGGCTGTCCGAGGAAGGTCATAGTACATAAAGATATGAATGGCGGGTCCGGTGTCAGTTGAAGCCGGAGTCGAATAGTCATAATAAGGCCCTTAAGCTCAACCCAGACGGGGATAGCTACCTCCCCCGGAAGGTAAAACTTTAGGTAAAGATGCGCATTCTTGGCTTTGTCCTTGACCGACTTGCCGGGCGAGCGGCCTCGATAGGCGAGCGCAAGCTCCAAATTCACGAAGTCGCCTTCTTCCGCCTCCATCCCCTCCCGCATGGCCACTTGCTCTTGTTCTTCTTGCTTCGGATCTTTACCCTTCCCTTCATCACGTTCAGAAATCCCTTCAGCATTATTTTCCTGGTCATTGGCGTCTCCTTGGGGATTTTGCGGGTCTGTTCGATCGTTCCCAGTCCCCTTGTCATCCCCTTGAAGTTGATTATCGGCGCCCACTGTTTGACTGGCCGCACCAGTCGGCAGCCACCGCACGCCCAATATTCGAATAGCCTCGCTACCCTGTCCCATATCGTCGACACTGACCATCTTAATAACCTTGGGAAGGGATGCTTGCATAATATCCTCGATTTGATCGACGAGGGAAGCGAAGAGGTCTGGGTTAACAAGCGGCCAGATGGACGAGAGCAAGCTATTCAACCATTGAGTTGATTCAGGAAGCTCCTCGTCGTTATTCAGGACAGCCTGCTCTGCTCGTCGCGCAGCATCCCAAGTCTCGTCTTCGAATAGCTCGCTAGTTTTCTTACTTATCCATTTTCCCATACCGATGATAGTCATCGTTCCTAGCAAAACAAATAGAGCTGTGCTGAATAGGACGAACCAACCCGGCCCAATGAAAAGTGCCGGGGCGAACAGTAGAGCAATAGCCAGAATACCCATTAGAGCCAAGCCAGCATATACTGCCTGCTCGTAAACAGCGGCGAGTCCTTGTTTTGTGCGCTCAAAATCTGGCGGCGGAAATACCCTCTGCATCCCATTATAAGCTCGTTGCAACTCGTCACGCTCAGAGGTTAACTCTTGGTCTGACTTGGAAGCACCCTTGGGTCCGGTGGCAGTATAATGATGTAGTCCTGGCGCCGGAATATTTTGAGGCGCAGAGTTTAGATCCTTCTCAGTCTGATCGTGTATGATAATTGGTAAATGGGTAACGGGATCGGTGACTTCGCGTCCTCCGCCATGCCTCTTGGTCTTCTTCATCGCCTTGCGCTTTTCTCTCGGGTCAACAGCGCTTGCTACAGCTTCAGTTGCCGACTTTTCTTGTTCACCTCCCTTCTTACCACCATTTCCTCGATGATCATCAGGTTCCTCATGTCTTCTAGTATCATTAGTAGAATCTTGTTGTGTCTCTTTAGGTCGACAGTCTTCTTCTTCTTCGGGGGCATACGGGGCATTATCGGCATAGTTATGGTTCGTAGATGGGTATGGGTCGTGTCGAGACTTGGGAGTATCTTCACCTTGGATGACGGCTTTCGCAGATTGGAACGCCCGCTTTGGTCTCGAATCGTCCTCTGGTCCTTGTTGCGCTTGCTCCTCGTCTTCTATCTGTCCTTCCAATTCTCTTCTGTGCTGTCTGTAACTCTGGACGGTAGGAATTGGATGTTTGGCGCTGTGGGGTTTGCCGTACTCTCTTCCTGACGCATTTTTCTCAAAATCCACCTGGTTCGTCATGTTGTGCTTGCGCGGGCGTTAGATATTATTCATAGGGAGTAATAAGAGTTAATAGAACCCAGGAAGTGCTTAGGAATACATTTATGTAGTAAGAGGTAGATATCATAAAAAATAGAGAAGATAGAGAGAAGGATACATTAAGGTATTAAGAATGCACATGTGGCCACTTCAAGGGTATAGGAAGAGCTTTGATTGTGGAAGGCCTAATTATTCTTGCTTGCATCACCAATCAAGACTCAAGAGGCGCAAAAGATATATATACCTATTGAATATGCCATTGGATGTGATGTGCGGCATGTTGGATAGTTGGATGGTGCCGTAGTATGAGGTCATCGCCTTATGCTTTACACCAAATACGCCATTTGTAGTGGAGTCCAAGTGACGCAGCTAAAACCAAGCGAGTTCAAGGTGCCTGAAAAAGCTCCGGCCTTAACAGCTCCACAGCGGCAGTGCGGCACGTTACCTAGGTACCTAGCTTTCGGCAGCTTTTTAGGTTAGTGCTAAGTACCTGTACCAATGTAGGTACCTACGTAGGTACTCTATCATTATTAAGTAAGCCATATATTCTTTTGTCCCCCACCTTTCATCACATGGATTTCGTCCCGTCTCCAACTATTTATAACACTTCATTCTTTTCCTCCCACACGTCATTTCTGTCACAACTCTGGGCAATAGCAAACGGGACAAGTTAATATAATATATATCGCCTTTCATGACTTCATACCTATTACTAGCCTCTAGTGAACATTATACGTCCATTTTCGATTCATTTAGGCCGAAGAAGGTAGCAATGATGGTATATCTCCGGATCGTTCTCCTTAAGTTTAGGTAACGGGATCTTAGTTATGACTTCGACGCCGAATGGCAGCTGCTCAATATGGAAGCGAGCTGAAGAATAGCTAAGGGAGATCCAGATCCCATTATCAGCGAGGTATTTCCTCACGCCAGAAGCCATCCTGGAAAGGGCCGTATTCCCACCGCAGGAGACCGCGTCGGCGGTGCCTTTGTCCACGACTATGTCGAATTTCTGATCTCGTGAGAAGTAGCAGGCAAGTTGTGTTGCGTCTGCGACGATGTACTTCATCCTTACGTCACCAAAGGCGACCTGCTCTAGCTGGCGCCCGCGCTCGATAGCTAATGGTTCGTAGTCGACATTTGTCACGTCTAAGTAACCTCTCGAACGAAAACAGTTCTGTAAGTCACTTGTGCCTGAGCCTAGATGGAGGATTCGGGGTGCGTTCTCGTAAGTATGTGAGGGTGTCGAGAGGTAAGGCTCTATGATGGACATGAAAGATTCTGACGACGCTAGCCACTCGAAAGATGTCTCAGACGAGAATCTCTCGTGCCAATAACTCTGCTTCTCGAAGTCGGGGGGCATGATCTATCAAAGTGGGCTTGCTCGCTACGCCACCGAGTAGATGTGACAGGCAGGATGATTGAATACCACTTCCGTACCTACTTAATGATCTTGAAATAGTTCAACAGTTAGTTTCCTCCTCTTGCCCAAGACCCATAAAATCATGTGAAGTTGAAATTTTCCCACTTTCCAGTTACAGTCAAATCAGATGGGGACCTCTTGGGCCCACTGCGTTAAGGAGCGGCACGTAGCTCGCTCATGTTTGAATCATGGTTGTAAACGAATCTCCAAGAAGTTCCAATGACAACTAACACATACACAAACTATCTAAGCCACAGGGGTTCTCTCCGTCTTCGTCTGATTGTCTACATTTCTTCTGATGAAGTCCTCATTCACCAATATAGGGGTTAACGATATACCGTGTATCCAACACACACTTGAAAAAATATATGAAATTCCTTTCAACATGTCTAATATAATATATCAAACTAATACATCTATATATGAATTTACATTTGTAATTGTTTTTCTGATTTATTATCCCATAATCATTATGCTTGTTCTTCATCCTTAGCACATTTCGTAGATCAACTCCTAATGGTAGTATCATATGAACTAAGAGACCGGATTTTAGAACTCAAATGGTAATATAGTTTCTACTCATTACTACAGTCTTATTGTTATTCAAGAGAATGTAGAAAATCGAAGAAATGAGATTAATGCAATCAACCTATCCTAACACCTATTCGACTCTAGTATATAATTCTCATGCAACAGGCCACTCTTCAGGCAGCGCAAAAATATGAAGTTTATATCCAACCTGCTGCGTTCCCGTTGCATTCTCGGCTAAGCCCTAAACTTCAAGCTTCTTAACTTCACACACCCGCTAAGAAGTATACTCCGCATCCACCGAAGCAAGGTCCTACTCGAGTAGATGTGGAATGCCCAAATTCCATAAACCTCGAGTAGACTTCGAACAAGCCGTGTTTTTTCTAGTGATTTTATTTCAGTAACATCCGTATAACTCAAACCAATATGAAATAAAATAGAAAAGGAAAATGGGAAATCTTCCGGTGATGGAAACCCTTTATAGCCTAACACAGTATCCTCCTGAACATCCCAAGGTAAACCTCGGATACTCCATTATCATACTGAGCAGGCAACAGCGCCGTGATGGTAGTCCCACCGGCGGGGCGGAAAAGGAGGTATCCTTCTTGAGGATTTCACGACCTCTAGAACAACCTTAAAAATCGCACGTAATTGCTGCGTGTCGACGGCTATTCTTCCTCGACGTCGGGCGCGATGACCTCGCTGGTCTTCCGCCTCTTGGCCACGCGGCCGGAAAATACCGAGCGCAGCGGCGTCCTGGCCGGGCGCTTTAGAGATCCCGCGCCCCAGAGCGCGTCTCGCAGCAGGGCGGAGGTAGTCAAGCGTGCGGTCGGGCCCTTGGGCGCGGTCAAGCTCCGCCTCCGCGCAACTCCGTCCTGGATTTCGATAGTGTAGGGAGGCTCCTCTTCCTCGTTGTAGTCCTCGGCAGATATCTCGTCGTCCGACTCTGCGACTACTTGTGCCATCATTGCAGGAGTGTAGGCATCGGATGGATCTGGATCATCGCTAAAATAAGCCGCCGGAGCCGGCGGCAACGGTAATACCCTCGGAGTCGGGAAAAGTGTCATGGTCTCTTCGCACCAAGTCCGGTCCGCCGCCAAAGTACCCCTTCGACCTATAGGGTTTACGGTCGGTAAGACCGTGGTGACTTCGAAAGTGAAGTCCGGAGAGTCCATATCCATTATAGTGTTGCCCACGAAGTCCCTATCTTCCATTCTACCAGCTGGCCCGTGACTTGGTCCAAATCCATCTGGAGGTAAGCGCGTATCGTCTATCAAGTCGTAAATGTTTTGTCTGACTCGGTTAAATTCGCCCATCACCTCCCTTGGTATATCCAGGCCAGCCTGGATATATCGGACCATTTCGAGAACCCAGTACAACAAGGTCTCGAAGTTAACCTATTACACCAAACCATATCCCGTCAGCTTCTTGATCTTACCCTTCTAGAGATCTAAGGGGAAAAAGTCTTCACGGGCATAAATCAAAGTTACTTAGTTGCAATACTTACTACTAAAAGTTAGCCGTTGTAAACATAAGATTAACTGTTAAAGATCATTGACGATGGTTCCAGGAACCCAAGTCTAACAAGCTTACACGTTTATACGTACCTTCAATATCCCTACCACCATCATCATCCCACAGACCGGCTTGGTGATACTTTCTCATATAAAGGTTCATGAAGCTGTGATCACGTGGGAGCATCTTGCTGTATTCTTCAAAAACCGTGACCCTCCATCTCACATATTGATTGATGAAATAAACAATCCACCTGAAGAGGAGACCGTGTCTAGTGCTCGTGCCATAGGGGTTTTTTTCTTTTGCTAGTCGCACTACACCGATAGATTAGCTTTGTATTTTATTTTAGTAGTAGGCTCTAGTAGGAGGAACCGATACACATACAAATTGCAATAGCTTCAATCCTATTCAAACGGTATATGGTTCGGAAACATGCATTTGTCATGCCCCTAGTGTTAGTGCCCCCTTCCTTACCGGTGTATAAATGCGGGACACACACCCACACGGCGTCAATCTCTATATTGGGAGCGTGAAGATTTTCGTTGGCGACAGCTGTTCTGCGCTGATGGTCTTGATATACAGCAGTACGTTGCCAAACGTTGGGGGTATGATTCGTTGCAAATTCCAAAAATCGATTCCGGGCCCCAAACCATGCCCGACACCACACGATAACCAAAGACATCATTTCCGGGAGGGTCAAGCCACGGAAGGCATCATGACCGAAAGCCTCTGTAAGTGTATCGTGGATCCATTGCGAACTGTTATTCCCAAATTCAATGACCGAGTCGAATTCACCAAACAAGTCCAGAGCTGCGCTGTTACCATAAATATTTGTCGTTACACCGCCGTCATGATATTCTAATCCAACTGGATCGTAATTTACGTATTGACGAAGTTGTTCGGGTATATAGCTTAATACTCCGGCACGTGGGAAGCTTGAGTTAACTGGAATATCTTGTAGGTAAATTAGGACGCTCGCACGATCCCTCCTATTCGCCGTCGCTCCGGGACGGTAATTTCGGTAACGCGGCTTATTTGGGTCGTTGTAGGTTCTTGGGACACCCTGCTGCGGCTCCGCCATCGTGAGTTTGGCTTAGTTGAAATAATCTAAAACTACGTTGGAGGACTATTAGGAATACTCAGCTAGGATTGGCTTCGACTCCAGAATAGAATTATGTGACTTTTGTACCTAAACGCATTGTTTGTAAGATTCTATTGTCTATTAGCTATAGGATTACATTGAACATTAATATCGAGACAATAACGCCTCAGGCGGCTACGGAAACGTCTAGGACGGGACAAAGGAATATGGATCCGGAATAAAATCAGATTCTCTTTGTCATTTATACGCTGCAATCCCCATCTGTATATTATAAAGGCGGTGTTATAATTATATTTTTGCTCTATTTTATAGTAAAAAATTGGAGCTTCCCTTAAAGTCATCCTTATCTGATATTGTGACTCTTTGAAAACAGGATGAGAATTCGTATATCGAAAAGGATTAGTTGTAAATCTAGCTAGTATTACAGCAATGCTTGAGCGAACAAACGGATATTCTTGGGGACAGGAAGTTTACACCCTAAACGTACAACTGGAACGTAATTTATAAAAGTTGCTATGCTTATACGTAAACTGATAAATACCTAGCTGTAACTATTTTCCTTATACCAGGTGTATTTCCGGAAACTTGTGATGATATATCAACTCGAAAACAAAGGATAATACCCATAAAGTCCTAAACCTCCAAATATTGTGGCTATATGTATAAGTTTGTTTAAGGAAAGTTTATGTCCTCATCGTCAACGTCGTAGCTTCTAGGAAACCTTTCATAGGTTAGGAGGTAGTTAGCAAGGTAAGGAGATTTGTAATGCAGCTTGTAGTTTAACTTTATAGTTTATGGATATGCCCCCTGAATAACTCAACAGTAGCCCTTATTACCAGTTATTTTACCTGTAATAAAAGCTTAGGTACCTAAGTAACTGTGAAAACCCCATGGCTTTCTAAGTAAACGCAATAGCAAAGCTGATATATTGAGAATAAGGTTACTCATCTGCTTAACAGTTGAAAATCCCCGGAAAATTAAAAGTGGTAGTTATGTTGATTTAACTTGGTATTTAAGAGGCTATGGCGATTGTCATATAATTATTGTCCGCATTTAGTGTAAGATACGGATTGTGTAAAAATGCAATTTCGAAATTATGCAATGCGAGCGAGATATTGAGATTTTCTAGGTGACATTTGAGCCAACCACGACTAAGTATCGCCAATATCTCGTACGGCTACCTGGTGAGCCTAACATCCCGCTGAAACCCCCCTTTACACTCTGTTTGGTTGTGGGGAAAGGGGAAGGGGCGTAGCCGAAGTGAGACACTCAAATGTTAGACATCGAAGAACATAGCGAAATCAGGTCGTACGTGATCGTGAGGGGGTAGGGCGCGTTCTTTCGCCAGGCGTTGATCTTGATGGGCTCACTTTGCAGACTAATATTCGTTCACGTGAATCGTTTATTCAAGGATAGGCGTGTAATTTTCAGACTTTATCTAATGTCATCCGCCTAAATGGTAGTATAGAAACGACGGCACGGTATATCATGATATAATTAAGCGTAGGCCTGGAACAAGAAATGTCGAAAGCTCATTATTCGCAATAGCCCAACGTAGGAGACAAACTAGTGTACAGCAGCAACCGAAGATAATCGTGCATAGTAGCGGCGTAATATCCTTCTCGACTCGAAGTAAAGTTGCCCGGTACCTTGCATTTGCGGTGATAAGAAAATGGGGCACCATAGCAACATCCTTCAGGTAGTGTTCTCTGAAACGTGTTGCTAGAGTTGGCCTTGATCTGTTCTACTAGATCGATGGGACGTCTTCTCCGATTTGCTTATGAACCACCAGCAAAGCGCTTTGCCCGCGCCTCGGCCTTTGCCTTTTCGGATGGGTCGTTTAGAATAGCGGGCTTCCCCTTTGCGCCATTCGGCCTGCCCTCTTTTCGAGGAGCGCCATTCGGCCTACCGCCTCTACCTTGGCGAAAACGACCTTTGCCTCTTTGTTGACCACCGGGGTTTTGTCGTTTCGCGCCTCGTTCAACTTCGGCATTACCACCTTCCCGGCCTCGCTTCGATGGCCTCTTCTCGGGCAACGCGGCGTCGAGACCCTTCACCAGAGAGGAATCATCTACACCAAAACGCTCAGCGCGCTCAGTTTTCTTCTTGTCCTCGTCATTATCAACTACGCCAAATCGCTTAGCTCGCGCGGCACGCTTGCGTGCCTCTTCATCTGCGTTAGATGCAGGAAGGTGCGCAGAAAAGTCTTCTTTTGGAGCCTCTGTCTTGACGGTTTCTTCAGCCCCATCCTCAACCGGCTTATCTGTGGTCGGAACAGAGTCTGGCGCACTCTCCACAGGCTCAATAGGTTCGGCAGACTTCTCTTCAACTGGAGCTGGTGTCGGTTCAACGGACTCGGCGGCTATCGCAGTTTCTGAAGGCTTTGACGTGGTCGGGACTTCATCATCGCTATAATCAATCTCGTCCTCGTTTTCGCGAACGGGAGCGGCTATTGGATATCAGCATATGCACGTTAAGGGTGATATTGCAAGAAATGGAGGCATATTTAAAATAAATACTGACGGTTCTGGGACTTGTCATGGTCTTGCAGACGAGCGATTAGGTCGGCCTTGTTACCTGTTACAGGTAGGGATTTCTCTTGGAGGAGTTTCTTCAACTCTGGAACCTTTAGGGAGGCGTAGTCGGACATCTTGATGGATGCGCGACGCGACGGTAGTGGCAAGAGTTGTCGCGGGTGAAATAATAAAGGATTGAGTGAAGTATAACCTTGTATTAAGATATAGAAAGTGGTATTGTTGATGCACCGCCGACCTTATAGTTTGGCTTCGTGGAAATTATAATAAAGTTGGATGAGAGAAAGATAGAATGTAAAGAATTGAGAATGGGCAATCGGTCGCAGCGCGGGTACTCAAAAAAAAGGTACCTAAAGTTAAGTACCTTTAGCTTTGTACATCAAACCCATTGAACTTAGCATTGAATGGCAGGACGCGTTCGCCAGGAAAACAATGGGCTGAATGGATAGCTCGAGATGTACCTACCTTAGGTACCTAACCTAACAATGTTTGTATGCACAGACCACTACCACTATACGTGGAAGCCAGGTACGTAAGGTACGCCAAGACCTTATCTTATCACTGAATCTGTTCCAATTTCGCTGCAATGCTGCATCGTCAGTGATAAAATAGATATTTCGTTATGATAATAACCACTGCTTAGGTTGTGATTCCTAGAATAGTGGTGACATCGTTGTTTATTTAGGATTACAGGATTAGGATCTAGCTATGTTTATATATGCATAGAATGCAGGCAGCAATTGCCTGAATCATTGTTGCCTGGGATCCACATTACTCCTCTTCTCCCTCAGAGTTGTCCTCAACTCTCTAATCATCATTAATACCATGGTGTAGTACTTCGGCCCGTACCTGGATTGGCGTACGATTCTCCAGGTCTCGGTCCCAACGAGTAGCCTCCCCCGTAGCCTCCCCCGTATCCTTGTCTCGATCCGTATTGTGTTTTTGGTTTTTTATATTCCTCAAACTCTTTCCGAAATGCTTTCAGGTTATTTTGTAAGGTCACGATCTCGGCCTGCAACGTTTTGATGTTTGTGGATTGGTCGGTTGGTTGAGGTAATTCAGGTTGAGGTAATTCAGGTTGAGGTAATTCACGGCACGTCTGGGTGCGGACGTGTTTCATGAGCTTATTACGTGATCGGAACTGTTTGTTGCACTTGTTGCACTTGGTGCGAGACTCGATAGGTGTAGGTTTGGTTGACGATGTCGGCTTGGCTGGCGTTTTGGTTGGCGACGATTCGACTAATGAGGTTTTGTCTAGCGATGTTGTGACTGGCAAGGTTGTGTGTGGCATCGTGAATGCCGTTTGAATAGATTGGCAAGGTAGCAGGGGTTTATTATTGTCTTGAATAGATTGGCGAAAGGGCAGGGCTGGTGCTTGGTACGGGTCTATTTTATTGCCTAATGTCTGGTGCGTTTTTACAGGATGTGTAGCGACGACTTGTCTAATAAAAAGGCTGGTGGTGCGTTTTACATGATGTATAACGACGACTTGCCTGATCAAAGGGCTGGTGGTGCGTTTTACATGATGGTAAACGGCTTGCTTTCGCTATTCTTTCTAGGTGGCGTTCTGCCACATAAAATCGATTTTATGTGATTCCTAGAATAGTGGTGACATCGTTGTTTATTTAGGATTATAGGATTAGGATCTAGCTATGTTTATATATGCATAGAATGTAGGCAGCAATTGCCTGAATCATTGTTGCCTGGGATCCACAAGGTAAGGACGGTAGCAATATTTTTAACGAAAGCTTTAATGTGTCTATCGGGATTTTATTATTAAATACTGATTTTTTTTCTTTTTGGCCCGGCTTTTCAGCACCCAATCACATGGCAAAGTGAAAAGAACGCGCGAACTTCTGGCCTTGTCAAAATTAGGTCCCAGCAAATAATAACTTGACGGAAGTAACTTAAAAGGTTATTAAACTTTAATATATCTTCGACTTGGGCTTAGAAATGTAGGTTTTCAAAATCGTACCTAGTTGTGGATAATAGACCATAGAAAATAATACCATAAAGGAGTTTGCTTCCCATGCAAGTATTCATCGAAAGGGTCAGAGCAGAATAGGACTTACGGCTGTACTGAAATACCGATTAACCCTCTTGAGATCCGGCATGAACTTTGGTTGAATTCTATTCATGCGTTAGTTGAAGTGCCTCAAGATATAACCTACCAAAGAACGATGCGACCCCTTCCACTCGGAGACTACATGGTAAGTATCGTGAACCACAAATTGGGCAGTCACAAGATTAAACTGTCAAATTCAATATACACGTATCCTCTTCTTGTCCGCCGAGGCCAAAATACCTACTCGCTAAACATAACCAGGTCTCGAATATAAGGCCGCAACGAGCTCATATACAGCGAATAATCAAGGGTGCATTCGAAAGTAGATATCGACGTAATTAAGGTCTGTATGGTATTATTTCGCCAGAGTCTCTATCACATCAGGGAATAATAGAGCTTTTTATAATACCCGGCATGACAATCCGAATATAGAACCGGGGAAATCATCGTGAAGATATGTAGATAGACCGTCGATATGGGGAAATGGGGAAAAGGGGAATCCGAGAGGATCTTGCCGGCTGGTTGAGCGCAAGCCATTCCCTTACTCCTGATGTCGATGATTTGTACTTTTTTTATACGAAATATGACGAGATTGATATAGGCCTTGCTTCGTGGTTCTTTTCACCGATAGTTGGCGATAACTGGTATGTTTCTTTTTAAAGGTGCGTGTAAGTGAGACATGTGCGTAGCTAAGATACTTAGATAGATACGCCATCTTATGTAGGAGGATTAAAGCATTCGATTCATAAAAATACCTAGATGTATACATAACCAAGTAAGTCCGGAAACCTGCATTGAATAGCGCACATGTATGTCTCGACTCAAAATCGGAGTAGCGAGGAGCGGTGAATATCCTCGCGAAGTAGCGACGACTACATGTAGGTTGCAGCTTGTCATCGGGACCCCGGTTCCACAGCGGCAAGATCCCAAACGGCCAGGACCAATGGATAATGCCTGCGCAGTCCGGATCTAGGAAATCTTAAGGGATCTTTTGCGCGACCCTTGTTTTATGGGACTGTAGGTAACCCAAGCCCGCGATTCTACCAATTAGCATCGCATTCGTTTGCCTTAAATGGTAGTTCGACTCTGGTTCGCTCGGGACCGACATAGACACGGGAGCTAAGCTGTCTAAGATCTTAGCATCGGCCGATTCCCAAGGTATCACCCCTGCCGTAAACGTGACATGATTCAGCCTCGAATGAAACTGATATAATGATGAGGGCTGTCTCGATTATATCGTGAGATCCATCATTTCGACGGCAACATTAGCCTTTCATACTTATACCTTTGCACCATGGCCAGTTTATCTAAGCCGATTCCAATTGTCGTCTGCGGCAAGGCGGAAGTAGTTGGGAAAATGGTCGTTGAGGGTCTGAAGCCCGAGTATGAAGGTGAGTGAACAGTCATGATTAGATGAAGTGGCATCTTAAGGGATAACCTGGGAGACCTATGATCTGAATAAGACTTCGAAAAGAAACGATATATAAGCTAACACGTATACTATCATCCAGTAATCCTCTTCTGCCTCGGCAGTAAGCCAACAGCCGCCGAGCTGCCTTTCAGTAGGTGGCATTCATGATCCCGACTTTATACTTCATATACCTACCTACCTACACTACCAACCATGATCACTTCAAGTTTATAAAGACACTAAACAAGTTAACTAACACCCACCCCCAGTCCTCCGCGGCACCGCGCCCTCAACCCAAAGCAGCACCATCGGAACCGGCTCGTACTCCGCAATCCCCTACGCGGTGGTCATGGGCGCGGCCTGGAGCGCTGACGACGTAGCCGACGTCAAGGCCGCCATCGACGGGAACATGCCGCCGGACTCCGCCGTCCCTGCCCCCGTGCTGTTGCGTAACGACACCAGCATACCCACGCCGAAGCCGCCGTCCCCCGAGTACGCCGCCCAGCTCGTCCAACGCATCCGTGCTTGTCTCGGGAAGCTGGAAGGCGGAGAGAAGCTTGACGGGCTAGATAATGGAATTGTGGTATGTTTATTTATTATATCCGTTTTAACAAGTACTATTTCTGTACGATATCGGTTAACCTGATGTGCTATAGTGGTACTGAATGGACTGACTAAAATTCGCTATTGACGAGAACCCCTATAATCCCCTACTGCGATAAACCCGAGAGACGGTTAGGCTGTTCATGGGCATCGAAAAATACATGACGCTTCCGATCGGGTAAAGAGGCACGAGATACAATTGAATGACTTCAGTATTAGGTATCTTGAGGGTATTGTGTACATAGCCTATCTTACACAATGTATCCGACCAAAAGGTGAAAATGTGACGGGAGGGGACGCAACAAATGCAAGAAACCATCCATACCATCCATGCATATGGCCGTACCATCGTCCTCATGTTTACTCATGTTTATGCTCTGTCCGCCCTGTCTGCCCCCCAGACATCTAATGCAATGTGTCCGACGCCTCGCCTTGTCCCTCGTAAAGTTGAAAATTTGTGTTGACTGAAAAGGTTGTTGATAAGATCTGAAAAAGAAAATGTGTGCAAGGAACGGCGTTATAGCCTCATACATATGAAAGGGGTATCAACCAATAATCAACCAATTATCACTTCTTGCGTAACGAGTCCAAATATCCACCTCGCTTGTGAAACCGATGAACACTGGAAACACCACTTCCGTACATTTCCTCCACTGTTTCCCCCTTGAGGTGCGACTCCCGCCTGTCCACTCTCGTCCTTTACTTCCTCCCAGACATTGATGAGGACGCCTCTGCTACCTAGCTGGCTAAAGCACTGGCTGCCTAGTATGACATCTAGAACTACCACCGGCTTGTCCGCATCCTTCTTAGGGATTGTCGTGACTACGATTCGCTTCTCCATTCCTTGATACTTCCTCAAGTTCTGCCTGGTGCCTCGGTCAGGTCTTGTTACTTCGAGCAGACAGTTGCCATGATCTTCCCACTTGCTGGCCGATACTAATAGATGGAGGCGAATCTTGAGGTTGTTTGTTGTGAGATCCACCTTAGTATTACCACTATTCGCGATGCTGACAGAGGGGGAGCGGGGTGGCGTGCCCGATGATGAGGTATATAATGATGCGTCTCCACCGCTAAAGCGGTATGGCCTGTCGACGGAGGACATTGCGATATTGAATGACTGATTGCCACCGCCCATCAGCTTCCTTAAAAAGGAAGTGGCAGAGACGCCCGAAGACTGAGATATGCTACCCGCAGACTGCGACGGGGCTCGGGTCGACGCGCGATAACTATTCTTTCGCCCAAACCAGCTTCGGCGCTGACTATTTCCGTCGGTCTCTACCTCTGGGTTTTGATATTGACCGAAGGCCCTAACGCGTGTTTCCTCCTCGAGCGCCTTGTATTTCGCATTATCCATGCGGGCTCGGTGAACTGCCATGTAGAGGGACTCGCACTCCGGAGTGGACTGAACTCGGAAGCGGAAGAATGACGTATCGATTTTGAGCACCTTGGCGTAGAGCCTGGAATAGCTGAGAACGGGAGATCGTATTTCCAAGTCGACAACTGTGCTGTTTCGTAGCATGACCAGAGGTGTGAGGTCTAGAGCAATCAGGGGTCGCTCTTGCGTTGGGCTACTGGAAGATTGGTGTGCTCTTTGATAAGGGTACGCCTCAATAAGGCCTGGAGTCGTGACAATAGAGCAGAGATCAGGCCAAAGATCTTGCCAGCGTCCATGCTTATTATCCCAATAAGAAATAGAAGCGATGGACTTATTGACGTATTCCGGCTGCTTGTTTTCTGATTTGGGCAACCCGGTCTGTGAGAGTGAGATAGGAGGGGTAAGGCTGACAGTACTTTCCGAGACTATAGACTCCGTGGGAATGTTGTTATTTTTTCTGATGCTAATAGCGGGTGTGGTATCCGGCATGTCAACCGCCTCAAGCTCATCATCGGATGACTCCTCGGAGATGGTGCCATCTTCCGATACAGACATTGGTGATGTGGAGCCTTCGGAAGATATATCTGATGGGTGGTATTCATGCTTGAGTGGTGAAGAAGTGCGGCGCTTGAGACGTGACGCAGCTTGTTCGGCTGGAGGTGAAAGTACCGGTGCCTTTTTGGAGCTGAATGTCCGATGGACTGGGGGAGGAGGCGCACCATCTTCACGATAGGGGTTGCTATTTGATGAGGATCTTTTCGACGGTAGAATGTCGTGATTATCGAATGAGCTTGAGTAGGCTTCGTTCGCATGTTTGGACCTTGAAAACGAATCCTGGGTTGGAGTTCCCTCGGAAGAAGAAGCCGAACCCTCAGTTCTAGGAGAAGTCGGTGTATTATGGGGACTACCAGTTTCCTTGCGAGAACGCTCCGGGGTTGTTGGTTCACTTTCGGGGTGATTCTTAGATCCAGTTGACGCTGAAGAGACTCTAGAGGTCTGACGTAACCTTCTCTCGCCCATAGGAGTCTCGCCGGCCGCCAATCCTGGTGACGGAGCTACTGATTGTGCCGTTGAAGGCATTGGTCCTTCAATTGGAGGGGGGATCGGGGTAGATCCTAGCATACCCAACCATTCCAGCACTTGCTCTTGGCTGTCTGCCGTCAACGATAGCAGTTCAAACCATTCTTCCCTGTGACCCCTGATCATAACAACTAATTCGCACTTATCATCTCCCCTTCGAGCAGAAAAACGGCCACCGACAATGGGGGCAAATAGAAGCCACGAACGCCCTGCACTGCCAGTCTCTCTGATTAGGAGGTCACCCGGATCTGACTTGAATGTCTGATTGTCTCGAATTATGAGCTCGACTTGGCACCCGAGTCGTTGTCCATTCGAATGTCGCAAGTCCAAGGTGAAGGTATCTTTAGCGAAGACCTGACGAAAGCGATCGATTTTGACGTTATCGAGAGCTTCTAGTGTTTTTAGATCTCGGGTCCGGGATGTGTCGCTGTTTCTGGCATCCTCATCGATAACTCTTGCGTTTTCTTCTTTATGCCGTCGCCTCGCCTTCTCCTGTAGCATTTCCCACTTGGAAACGAGGGATTCTAATTCTCTTGTACCAGCAATTGCTCGGTAGCCCTAATTTCTTTTAGCTTGAGCGCTCTGGGAATGATCAATAAACATACCTTGATGAATTTAGTAATCCATTTGACACGAACAAGAGGGCGTTTTAGTAGATGAGCTACATCTATGCGGTCCCCATCCTCATTGAGAATATCTCCTTGCTCGTTTCGAGGCATCGCATTGATAAGAGAGTCGGCATCATCGGGCGACCGAGGCGCCAAGTTGACGATGATGCCTTGGAAGCCAAGGCGCCATACGTCAAGGTAATTGTTGTAGACAGGATGAACTGCCTCAAACCACTGCGGAAGCCTGTAAATGTCAGAAAGTGGGGGGCACTGGCAGTGCAGATTTCTGAGGTTGTCAAGGGCGATACCCATGTTAATGACAGCTTTATCTAAGGTATCCTCCTTAAATTTAGTAGGAGGGGATCCAAACAAATCTTTGCGTGCACTGCTCGTGTTATTTACAAATTGTGTTAGAAGGACTGGAATTACTCCATCCACAAGAGTTTTTAACTCTCGCTGGTAAAGGTCCTCATCGTCTTCAAATTCAAGTAGAAGTTCATCTAAAGTAGCGTCGCCAAGGTGACTAGACGGCCTTCTTATGCTACGTGCAGAGCGACGGCTGATCCTTCTGTTCGGCACCGAAGTGTCATCTGGCAGTGACAAGACCGACACTAGATCTGAGTGTTTTGTAAGTCGCCTCTTAAGACTAGACCTATGGCTTCTCCTACGAGACACTGCTGTACTTCTTGTCAAACCCGCATTCTCGGTTATGGTAGTTTGCGATATTTCGGACGAGAGATCTGATTGAATTCCATAATGCGATTCCATCTCGGATATAATCGTCGATAGTTCGTGGAAGCCATTAGTTGGTGGCTTACGTTTGTTATAAGCCAGTGGCTCCGGGTGGGTTGCTTCTGAAGACACTGATGAACTACAATCTTCTGGGGATGGACTTCTTTTTGCACCGGAAGAACGCCGCCTTTCGTGGTGCTCATCTTCACGTTCTCTGTCGAGGTCCACCACTTCGGAACAGCTTGGATATTCTAAAGGCGGGGGACTATGGCCTGTAGATTCACCGCGAAATGCGTCCATAAGCTTCTCCTTGAAACCTTTCTTCATACTACTTTTCGAGGGGGTTGAAGAGAGCCTAGTAGCTCTACTTCTCTTCAGTCCGGCTGAAATAGGAGTTGTAGTTTCGCTTCTGCTAGGCTCATGGTGGTCTGACTTTGTAATCTCCTTTGGCCCTGTCGACTCTTCACTCATGCTAACGTCGGATGAACTGTTGACCTCGACAGATTTATGCTTTGAGGGTGGAGATTGTCGTGCCGTGCTTTCATCTAGTAAATCTTCGTCTGCTTTGTTGTTTTGCTCGGGTTTGGATATGGAAGAATCGATGAAAGGGTCAACAGTGTCCTTTAGCCAAGTCTCAATGTTTGGAGGGCGGTTGACAGCAGGTTTTGGAGGAGGGTCAACCTTCTCCGTGAGAATCTTCTTGCCCTCGGTCAATGCCTTTTTCAGGACGTTAGTAGCGCCCTTAAAACTAGATTGCCTCTTGGTTTTTGGCCTCGTATTTCGTCGTCTTGAGCCTGTAGCTAAGTCAAGCTCGCTAAATGCAGAATAACCAACAGGAATTTCTGCTAGTGATTGTGCCAGCGTACTAAAAGGCATGTCTGATACCGAGTCGCTCGACCAAGACTCACTATCGGATACCTCTTCTGTTGCTATAGTTTCTGTGTCTGCATGGCCCTTCTTGATAGGGGTTTGGGCATGTTTTTGTTGTTTCTTGGGAGACAATTTTGAGTTTCTTCGTGGAGACGTTCGACGTTTTTCAGACCCAGGCTTTTCCACCACTTCTTTGTGTTCTGATGGTGACGGGTCCCTGTGAGAACTCGCTCCACGGGTACTTGGCCCTTTTGAAGAGTGCCTCGAAGAAGCTCGAACCGTAGTAGCATCATCTGATCCTTGTAAGTCAGAGGGGGCTGGTCGTATATTGGCTTTCGAGCGCATAGCTTGATATGCTCGCTTCTTTGTTGACCTGCTCCGGGCGTTACGGCTTTCTCGTCCCTGTGGCTTTCGTGGTGTGGGTGTATCTATTGAAATAGAACTCGACAACCCGCTTGTAGCGTCACTTTCACTTGCGACAGGCCTGACGCGAATGCCATCGCCCTCATAGTTGCTAGACTTTCCAGACTTGGAGGATTCCGCGGTAAGATGAGAGCCCGTGAGATAAGACCCCGATAAATAGGATCCCGATAAATAAGATCCTGATAGATAAGATCCTGATATCCCACTTGTTGTGTCCTTTGCGCTTGGGATGGGTTTAACACGGACGCCATCTCCTTCTAGCTCTTTCGAATTCCGTGAGCTACTAGTCTTGGCCGTGACACGAGTAGGCTCTGATCTCCCGCTCACATTATCGCTCTCATATCGAATAGGTTTAACTCGGATTCCATCTCCACTGCCAGTTGATCTCACTGACCTTGGTGCACTATGGTGTTTGACAGACGGTTCATCGGGAATCTCAACTTTACTAGCCCAATCCTTAACTTTTTTGGACACAGAGGGATTAGAGGCCGGGCGTTTCAAGAAGTCCTTCGGTATTGGTGACCCAATGGTTTCGTTCGGTTTTGTCTTTGGTGACTGGCTTCTTGATGCTGCGTTCTTTTTATCCTTTACCCAATTGGTATCGCTAACAACTCGTTTCTTAGGCGCATTCGAAAGCTTTAGTTCCTCTATGTTACTTTTCTTGGGTTCATTGCCATCTGTTCTATGCGTGATGACAACTTTCGTTGTCGGTTTCTTCTGTCCTGACTTGATCCTCACCCGGTCTTCCTCGGTCACGCTTTCTTCATCTACTTGGATATTCACCTCGCTTGGCTCTGTCGGAGCAGCCAAAGGATCCGCATCAGCCATCGCTGTAGCATTCGCCTTTTGCCATTTCTTAACGCGTTCATGCACACCTCCTGGAACCTGGATTCGCATTATAGCTGCTTGACGCATCTCTTGCTTTACTAGCTCCAAACTCTTCCGCCTTGCATGTGCTGCTTCCTTTGCTGCTTGTCTATCTGCTGCGACTCGAGCTGGAGATGGTCGGCCCAATAAGAAATCACCGAGGAGCGTAGGGGCCGGTTTCGTTGTAGCAGACCGTGCGCGGCCAGAGACCGGCTTAGCCTTAGGAGTTGTGGCATCTTTGACAGGTGATGATGCCTTAGGAGTCGGTGTTGTTCCTGAAGTAATATCGGGGGTAGATTTGCTAGCATCGGAACCGGGCTGAGGAGTTTGGGGAGGGTGAGGATCCGTCGGATCATCTTCATCGCTAGATTTGACGGCAGTCATGATCTGGTAGACAAAATGTTGTCAGTCTCAGTAACATTCCAGTACTTTACATACTCGATAAACCTTGATATAATACGGATAGATATGAGCCATGATACACCCAGAGTGTGGGTTGACAGTCGTGCTAACAGGCCAATGCTCAAGGAGCTGGCTGCATGCTAAAGCACAGTACAGCACACAGCAAAGTAATGTCCACCACGCAATACACATCACACCGCACACCGCATTCGCACCTCATTGAACTCTTAAAGTACTCAATTGAATGAATTCTCACCTAAATTGATCAGGGCCTGGCCCGGGCTTCATGCTGACGTTGAGATACCATACGACGTAAGCAACTTGGATGCAAGAGTTGGATCTGGTAAGAAGAAAGAAGAAAGAAGAAAAGTTATGTTATGAGGTCTGATAGATTATAATGCGACAACAAATTGCACAAATCTGAAGTGGCATTTCCGTTTACGCCGTAACATAATAGAGCACGCCAGGTGTCTGTCTGTCACAATGCAATGCCTAATATGAGAATTGCGAATAATGTATTATACAATGAGAATAAGTTATGAGTGAGAGTAAGTTACTGTGTGCGTTGGAAAACCCGGGCCGTGAGGTGAGGGAGAGATGAGAAAGTTGTGTTTCGTTTGGTCCAAAAAATGCCATAGCAACCAAAGGGTTTAGTTATGTAGCGAGGGGCTAAGACAATAAACAATGCCATTACTTTAAGTACTTAGGTACCTGACACAAGAGGTACGGCTTGGGTAGCTTCGACTGCTTTTTCGGTGGGTCCCTTGTAACTTGGCTTGCGTTGAGCTTGTTTAGGCGGCATAGAGTTGGCTTAAGGTGGGTTTAGTGGGGTTGCCAGTCCGGCTTTTGAACTTGGAACTTGGAACTTGGAACTTGCAGCTGATGATGATAGTGATAGTATTATGCCCCTGTAGTTCCCGAAGCCGCTCCGGTCAATCCTGCCAATCAGCACATTAGCATCTAAATACAGAGGTATGCAATACGCAATGCCCCTCCATCAAGATCTCTCTTTCGTTAGGTATTGTAGCATCATGTGGCTATTTTACATCAGCCATCTTCAACATTGTCAGCCTGTTGGCTTTCAATATTTGAAGTGCGTGGCGTTTGTTGCCTCAAATTTTATATCTAAAGTAGTTCAGTTAATAGGTAACTAGGTACCTTTATATCCCAACTAACTTGGCCTGTTCATTAAGGAATATCACAATCGTTAATGGTGGTAAGACAACATTAACAACATGGCTAATGTCAAGAAAATAGCCAATTATCACTCTCCTTAACCTTTAGTTGGGCTTACCAGGTCACGGTGCATGTGTTTCTTTCATGCATGGAAATAAAATATGTAATACTTCGTACAACACGCAGGGAACATACGAAGCGGTCTGTCGATTTTTGTTTTTGTACTACCACCAAAAGATACTATCTAAGTACCTCTGGGCATTTCTGTTAAAACTGGCTACAATCTAAAGTATCGCAAAACTAATAGAAACACTATCTATGGCTTCTCCCTATGACGCTATACATAGTATCAAGCTATAGTCCCGACTCCATCATCATGTTAGGATAGCTACCTAGCCTAGGTACCTACCTGGTATTTGAACTGATTCCGTATCATCTTTACACGCTACGGGTGGAGGTACTTCCAAATCCATAGTTTTCTCTTAATGGTGATTCAACGATCTTAACTCTTGAAGTGTATGAGGTAACCTTAATTTATAGGGAGTTAGTAAAGACATATTCGAAGCTTCACTCCCAAAGAGACGATGAAAAATACTATGCTAGGGCTAAAGTATCAAGTATGATACTTCAGGTAGATATATATCAAGGCGCTTACAATATCCAATAAAATTGCTCGTGTCCTTCAGTCTCAAGGCCACCTATCAATGAAGACGAACGTGATTGTCGGGCAACAAAAGCCTGAACCTGTAGACAACTTTTTCTCTCTCTACTTCTCCAATCCTTCACATTGGTCAAGTCAAGACCCTCAGCTTCGAGTTTAGATAACTTTTGCGGGGGCGCGTTTCTATTACCTAGAATGCCGAGGCAGAGGCTGCGCACATTTTGGAAAAGACGCGACCAGAAGGCTGGGCCTGGAGAAGGGTCCTACGGCCTCTTTGAGTTCCCCGCCCGGCCAGGACAGCCCAGACTAATTTCACTCTCCCCGGATGCCAAATTCGTTGAGTTCGTTACTAGAAGCTGTATTAATATGGACCTTAGGTACTAATCAGCCGGTAGTATCATTGCCGTCCACGGCCTCGGAGGGGGTTGGCGGACGACGTGGAGTTCTAACAATAGTGAAGACTCTGCTATATGGTTACGTGACCGTCTACCAGAGGTTCTAGCCCGTATTAATGTGCGACCTCGTATCCGAGCTTTTGGCTATGACGCCTCTTTTGTGTTTACGTCTTCCACGTCCGACCTTGAGTCTTGCGCACAAGACCTACTCACTAGAATACACCTCGCAAGACAGACAGAAGAAGAAAAACAGGCCCCGATTATATTTATTGCGCATAGCTTAGGTGGACTTCTGGTGAAACTTGTAAGTGCACCTAGCATTCACAGTATTAGTACTTGAGGACAACCGTTTCATAAGGTTGATGCACTGTATTAACTACCGCAACCCTTAGGCCATTAACATGGCACACACAGATGACGAATATCATCAAGATATTCTCAGCAAAACAGCCGGTTGTTTATTCCTTGCGGTTCCATTTCACGGTGCCGATGCTGCCTCTTGGGCCGTGTTGGGTTCTCGCATAGCCAATGCCCTGTCTCTAGGCATGGTGGGAAACTCAAGAATCCCCCGCTCCCTAAAAAGGAGTTCGAATGACTGGATGAAGATTTCAAGAGACTTTGTCCAGAGGGGAAGGAATATGGTATTTAGGAGTGCATATGAGACGGAGAGAATAGGAAATAGTATTGTGAGGAGCTGCCCTAAATCGTACTAGATTATTTGGATCACTAACACTAACTTTGGTCGTTGATGAAGCTTCAGTACGAAATAACACACCCAACGAAAGGGTGTTCCCCATACCCGGATCCAATCATCGAACTATTTGCAAGTTCGACGACCATGAAGATGAGCGTTTTAATCCGATCAGCCTTGCTATCACCGAAGTGGTTCAAGCGGTACCAATTGCGCGTTAGTATCAGTGTTAATATGATGGTATGGTATGATTGTATAGTTAACCATCGTTTATAGACTTAAGGTTGGAGCTTCCTATAATGTCTGAACTTCCTGTCTCCACGCCAACGTTCTATGGCAGAAGCACAGAACTTGAAGCGCTATTTGATGTACTCGATCCTTCTGGACCTGGAAGGAAAGGAGTTGCCATTTTTGGTATTGGTGGCTCAGGAAAGACACAACTTGCTCTCAAATACATAAAAGAGAAAAAACGTTTGTATAGTGCTGTGATCTGGATCAATGCATTTACATCTGAGCAGCTTACACAATCGTTTGCCGACGCCTTCCATATGATTTCCAAGTCATGGACGCATAAAGATGTATCGAATACGTATGCAGGAGAGAACATGGAATATTTCGTGCTAGGTAGACTGAGAACTACTCTAAAGCGGAATTGGCTTCTAGTTATCGACAGTGCCGACGATCCCAACAACCACAACCTAACCCAGCTAATCCCTGACTGTAGTTTCGGCTCAATTATTGTAATGAGTACGCGAAAACATGCATCGGATATCCTCGAGCCATATGGATTCGAAGGTATCGAGCTCGATAAGCTAGACGACGCCGATGCAACAGAGTTGCTTTTGGATATAACTAGAGTTCAAGTATCAGTTTCGTTTCACGGATCCAGAAATGCCATAGCAATAGCCAGAGAACTGGGAGGTCTGCCACTGGCTCTAGAGCAGGCGGGAATTCTGCTGCGGAGAAGGATTGTCACTCCAGACAACTTCATCAAAGAGTACGACGCACAGTATAACGAACTTATGAGCTATTTGCCTAAAGCTGGAGAAGTGCAACACGATAAAGCGCGAACCATATATGCGACCCTCAGCATACTTTACTCCAACATCAGGAAGCAATCGCCCATCTCCGCAGCAATACTTCGGCTTTTAGCCGTCATAGGACCTACACAAATCCCTCTCTATATATTTTTAAACGTTTTCCAATCCGAATCCGCAAGTACGATTACTGATAAAGAGTTCCAATCTATACAAAAATCCACCAAGTCAGTTACTATTTTTCGTCTCCATCTAACTCTTCTTGAGGACTTCTGTCTAGTCAAAATTAGACCTGAATCCAGAGAGTACCCAGAGTCAGTACTATCACACCAAGCTATTTGCCAGTGGATTATAAAATCGCCGTCCGAATGCGAGCCCCGATGGGTTATATTCGTTGCCCTTGGATTGGGTAACGTTCTTTGTCGTGGAGAAAGGAGCCTTGACCGGTTCGTTTCAATTACCAAAATTTCAACTCCTAATAACTATCACGAAACTAATACCCGTGCAGGCCGATGGGCGGGGCTACTTCAGATTCGTACATTTCAAGAATATGCCTTCCTTGGATTAGCCGTATCGATTTTCTTATTAAAGAATCCATTGACTCCTCTACTATTCAACCCCCCGATGGTCTCTTTGCAGCTGAATACGCTAATATAGCTTGCAACTTTGGGTATATATACTTTTGCAATGCACGGCATGAGGAAGCCAAGCCGTTCCTCTCCTGTGCTCTAAACTACTATCTTTCCAGATCCAGAACCTACGATGATTCCTCTGGTAGCATCCTACAATTATATTACTGTCTGGCAGCCTCCTACTATGAGACAGGAAACCTAGATAAAGCAAATGAGCTCCTCAACGCAGCGATTAACACATCCGGGGGGGAAAGCACCGAGTATGCTAAAATTATCGCTTTACGAACATTAATTTCGGATAGGACTACTACCTACCAGCACCATCAGCCCTCGCCGGTAATGTCAGTACATTGGGGAAATACCAGACGTGACAACCAAATCGTATGGAACCAATCTGCTGTACATACTGTACAACCATATGGAGTTAGTGCTACGACTCTCGATAATGATATCGAGAACTACGGTTCCGGGAACCATGCTATCAAGAAGGGATATTGCGTCTCAAACCCGCGTTCATATTCTCGGAGGGCAAATGTATCGGAATGGGAGACTCGTGGAGTAATCTCTGTGAAGATCTTATATGTAGGAGGAGCGGCTGGGTTCTCAACCGGGAGCTCCTACAGTGGTACACCAGTACAAAACCGACAGAGCAGAAGAAATTCACCCGGTTGGGTGGGGCTGTGCGGCGTCCGGGCTCGGCATTCAGATGTAGTCGACTATGGTCCTGTCCCGGGGTGGAACCAAACAGCATGGAAACGACGAAAGTGTTCCGCGGGGAACTCTAGCCTAACTACGGAAGACTGTGGCTATGCATACTGAGCTGAAAGATACGGCATATGAGCTGTATGTTGTGTATTGACTTAGTCTATCAACTGTATGAGTGAGGGGGGAGGTCCTTCTTATATATACATTCCAGGCCAAGATACCATGCACTGTACCTGAAAGTAGTCCCTTGACCACACATTCAACATACTGAACCTGTCCTTTGTTGTAGATGTCTCATCTAGAATCCTGACAAGTCAGGTGTACTCCAGCTACTGAACATCTGGGGTATAGGAGTATTTGGCACCTGCTAACTAATTCTTATATCCGTTCTGGGGTATGATGTTTCTCGGGATTTCAAAGGTGTATAAAGTCTTTTTACGTATAGTTATGATATAATTGAAACCTTGGATTTCCTGAACATTTGAAATTTTGAGAGACGAGGGCAGTAGGGTGTAGAAAAATAGAATATCCTAACTAAGGTTATTATACGATCATCACGATATATAGATAATAGTTAAAGAACTCTTCATTTCGACTATAAGTAAAATACATGAAGTCTGTTTAAAGACTCGCGTATGGGTTGAAGGGCTTCGAATTCCCCACGGACCAATGACGTCAGTCGCCTATCGCTGAAAGGGTAAATACCCGATACATGCACATGCCCGGGAATCTCCTTAACATGTGAACGACAACCTCAAATGCAACGCCGCACTTATGCTGAAGTACAAACTCAAAGCACTAAACAGGTGTATGGCAATTAAAAAAACAAATACAAGTAAATTATCGAGACTTTATAATTTTGCCTTATTACCCTGTGCTTCCTTGAATTGTTTTGCGCCCTCTTCTTTCCTTTTCTTCTCAGCTTCTTGTATGTCCATAGTTTTGGCCGCCTCCCTGCCCGTGGCGGTTAACAGTGCCACACTCTCGCGATACATCTCAGCCTTCAACAGCCCGTAGACGCCTGTGGATCCTTTCTTGATTAACGATCGTTCCTGGATTAAGCTCAGAGCTGCGTCCATCTCGCCAATGGCATCCACCAAGCCGGCTTCTAGCGCAGCCTTGGCATCAAAGCGTCGCGCTTCGAGAACCATGTTGCGATATACAGTAGGAGTAGTTTTCATCCTGAAAATGGAGCTCATGGGTGGTAGTAACGGCGCACCGAATTCGAGCTCGTTGATGCACAAGTAACCCTTTGAGCCTGTGAAGATTCGGTAGTCGTGATGCATAGCTAGCATGAACCCGCCGGCGAAGGCGTGGCCGTTGATCAATGCGATAGTGGGCATGGGATAAGTTAAGAACCGTCGAAATAATGGGTACAGGCTATTCTCCCAGAATCCGGGTAACGATATAGCAAGCTTGAAATCGAGGCCATTGGAGTAGAACTTAGAAATAGACGAAGTGGTTATGACAACACCTGGTGGATGGCCAAATTCAATAGTATCGAGCGCCGTCATCAACGCCGTATTGAAGGCGGGTGTAAACCTGTTGTCTGGCGGGGAGGTCCATGTGAGAACATAGACTTGAGGCTTTGGAGATGTACAGACGATGCTGCCTCCCGGATGCGACTTGATTGCCGGGATGGGAATTTTAAATAGCTCGTTCGACGTCATGTTTGGGTATAATTTAATAAAAATATGCACTTTGTCAAGGGAGACTGAGGTTTCTCTACTTTTTGAGAACCTTTGATGCTTATTATTTCTTTTTATTCTCAAAAGGGGATTGTATTTATTCATTGAGCTCCTGTCCGAGGATGACATCTGTGGAGCCACAGCCGCGGCATTTTCCTAATCTAGAAGTCAAGCTAAGCCAGTAGTGAGGTTATTTATCTAACAGAATATATACAAAGTACGAATTTCTTAAAATAATCCCACATTTGGAGGTGTATCTCCCTCTTCAGCTGTGCTTCAATCATGTGACCTCATCGGGTTACTGGCATCAATCAAGGACATCAATCCGATTTAAACTACACCTAGATAGGTCCCTAATGCGAGTCACAGTCTGTATGACCTAGGCCAATAAGTCGCGTATTGGAATCATGATGCATGGTACACCGTTTTCAGGTGTGAGAGTATTTAGGGTTCAATAAATATTGTCGATACTTAATCAACGAATTAACGGTATGGACTCCGCACGAAAGCCCAAAGTGTTCAGATTGCGGCAACTCCCCAGCAATGCCAACGAATCTCAAGCACTTGTCTATCTCAGTATTGGTCTTGGCAGTATACCTGTCGATAACATCCGGATATTCTCTCTAGCGACGAGTTTGAGCCCCTGGCGTCCAACCAAGACAGCTACACTTATGTTTAACCCACTTCCTACCTTGCTCCAACGAGACCAAGGGAGAGGCGAATGGCATCCCGCTGGACTCTTTTCGCCATGCTAAAAATTACTTCTCAGGCTTTAGATGCTGTAGGAGGGTCAGATCTCATCGGTGCTGTTGAGTGCTCACAGTAATCGCATCACAAGGAAGCGCTATTAATATCAGAGCGATTTCTACTACTAAAAGCAGAGGAGCGCGAAGCTTACGCCTTAAACCAGATCAAGATACATTCTCAAGGTCTCATGGAACTACGCTTCGCTTCGGTTAAGCTTTTACACCAGACTGTCAAGGAATTCGTTAACCAGCCGAAGTTCAATGCTCTCATTCTTGACACTGAAGCAAAGGTGACATTCGAGAATGGATACTCATTCTTATCGAAGTGGTTCTTACTTGACCACAAAGCTTTTCAAAAATCTAGCGAAAATATTACAGAAGGTAATAAAGGCAGACCAATTAGACGACTTAGATCTGAAACGTATTATGACTCTATGGATGAAGATAGTTCGAACTACGAGTACGAGGGATATTCTTCTGACGATGCTGAATTGGACGCCCTGCCTATTTATTACGATCATAAGGTTATACCCGAAACGACGAAGCAGGCAGCAATATACGGGAGAATGGCAGAAGACTCTACGGGCTGCAGCATGAAGGAATTCCTTGATAGCATCCCGACGAGTAGATATACTCAGCTCACGCAGAACACCAGCGGTGTCGAGATAAGCACTCCCATAGAATTTGCCTCGTTGGCAGGATTCAGTCTTTATTTTCGGGAGACATTACAACTGGATCAGGACTTTGTGCAGAAATGGAACCAATATAAGCAAAAATCGCTACTTACGCTTGCACTTGGCCTTTCGCCTAAAGATAGCGATCACGTCGCGAGTAGACACCTCACTATAGCAGAGGGCTTGGGGATTTCCCAATTACTGCTGGATAACGGGTATAAGGATCCAAAGGCGTTCGGTAAACTAATATCCTTCTTATCCATATCTCTTTATGACGACGAAAGTCGGCGTCAGTCCATCAATATCGTTATTCATTTCCTCGAGACCGGTCACGACCCAAATATGCCATTGACCATTTACGAATTATCGGAAAGTGGCATTGCTTTGATTTGCACGGCGTTACATCTCGCGCCCCCAGAAATCGTACCGTCGTTGCTTGTCCACGGTGCCGACCCCAACTCCAAGGACTCCGAAGGGAAAACGCCCCTAGGGAGACTCTGCTGCAATGTCTTGCCCATAACGATAACGCAAATTGATCTCCATGGAAATCACGCTAGAAGCGTGCCGGACTCCTATCAGGTGGCTTGCATGCTGCTTAATGGAGGCGGGAAACCACCTCCGTGGTCGGATCCATCTTGGGGTAGGCTCTTGAGTCTGTTTGCTGAGAAAGGATATGATGTGGAACTACTTCAGCCTCAATGTTCCATTTTCACATCGGGGAAACCAACGGCCAAGCCTAAGTCAGCCTTGAAGTCCATTATGAAATCACGTAACAGAAATTGGTTTCAATGGAAATAACAGCCAATGTCTATTGGTTATATTTGCTCTCTTTATCGTATTATATACCAAGCTGCGCATTTACGACGATAGGAACTTGGCTGTTTTGCATATAGGTGTGGAACTAGGTAGCATAGCATCACAAATCTCTCATACTGTTATTAAAAAGTACCTAGGTACCTAACTAGGCCATACTCATTACTCTGAGATTGGATTCAGGGGTAGCTTTTGGGGAAACACACGTTATATCACATTTAGACCTAGCTCTAGGTTAGCCCTCTATAGGTATTTCCTGTCTGTCAACTGAGTTTATATATTATAAATTGTAAAGTGATTTCTCACCAGTGTGTAATAGATGAACTTTCCACCTCAAGCGACACATTGTTGCACACTCAGATCTAGTGCCATGCGACTAAGCGTTCTTATGGGCAACATCATTATAGACTAGGTTGCCTACCATTCTTTACGCTCTATTATCCATGGTTAACAGTAGTAATATATCAATTTGTTTGAGGAGAACTACGGTATATAAGCTGTATACACGGCTTGATTGACCGAGCTTCATTAGTAATTCATCTGGTTGCCGGGTTTATTAGTTTGTTGTACGTGCAAGACATTATGCCGGCCAACACTTGTAGCAAAGCCTTCAAGCATAAAACACTATACAATGCGGAAGGTGCCTCACTTTCGTTACACAGTGAATATACTGCCACGACAATTTCTATACAGTCCGATAATTGTCACTACGTTTTATTCGTTGCTTACTTGAAACACATCTTCAAGCTCAAGCCCGTAGACTCCGACTCGCCATACTTCTGGCGAATTCGGGCAAGCGCCTCTTGTTCCTCCCGCTCGTAGACTACCATTCGAACGGCTTCCTCGAACACGCGATTCACGTTCTCGCCGGTTTTTGCTGAGCATTCCATGTACTTGATCCCGCGCACGATCATCGCCCCAGAGGAGTCCTACGTATTTTCGATCAGTATATTTCCAGTCAAATATGGAGACTCGGTGTGAAGAAAGGGAGGGGTGGGTAGAGTTGTTCTTACCTTTGTAGAAGAAACTGGAATATTCAAGTCGGGATGGAAAGGGGCTCGCATATTAGAGCCAGTGAATGTATCTTTCTTCAGACCAAGCAAGATAAACGGAATATCGCCACAGTACTTGTAGATTTCGTCCATCCACTATAAATATTCCATGGAAGTTAGCTCATATATAATACGGTTGTTACGTTGTTAAGGCCATAAACGCGACGCACCTTCTTCTGGACAGTTTTGAAGCGTGCAATATTCTCCATGCTGAAGCACAGGAATACAGCATCCCACGCGAGGTAGGAAAGGAGTTGGAGTTGGTGGAGCGAGAGATCGCCAGATGTGTCCCAAAGCTCAAGGTCTACATCCTGTCCATCTACTGTGGCGACCTTGCTGAACAGCTCGTAATGGGTCCTGATATGTGCCTGCCTGGTGTGAGCAAGTAGCTCCCTTTGCCAAGAACTACTTTTATAGATTTTAACAGGGGCAGCTTACCGGATTAAACGCATCGCGGTAGTAACGACTGGAGTTGGAACGCATTAGTACGCGTCACAATGTTCATACAATACTAAAATCAGTAATTAGAAGAAAATAGTAATGGCTTACAGTAACAAGTTTGACTTTCCACAGCCAGAATCTCCAACAAAGACGAATCTCATGCGAGGACGATCAACAAGTGTGGCGGGTGATCCAGGCAATGAAAGCGATCCGCGAACTGTAGAGCCTTCTAAGGTCTCTTGGGGTTTCTCGGGGCTGATAACTTGGCGACATATGTTAGAGGCTCGGCGAATAAGGCCGTGGCCATAAGAAGCGAAGCTTGCACGTCTGTTGTTGGCATCCTTGTTACTTAGGGAGGCCTTGTTACTTAGGGAGGAAACCATTTTCGTTCGCTTAGCGCGGTAGCTATCGTCGTCCCGGCTATCGTCAATATCAGGAGTCTCCTAGTCGATGTTAGCCATGTGGTTGCTAGAGCCTAGGTCGGATGTTTACTCACAAAGGCGCGTTTGGGGGTTTGAATGCGCGCAGGTCCTAGCGACTCCTCTCGTTTGGCGGGACCAGGAACGTTATCAATCCAGCGAAGGATAGCTGGATTAGTCTTCCACTTATCAGGAATGATAAAGGAGAAGCTCTTAGATATGGGCAAGCGGAACTGCTGAGATTTGCTAGTAGTCTCCATAGTTGCACCCTGTTAGAATAGTAGCTCAAAAGGATTCCTATTTATTATTTTCTGTACTTAAGGAGGTACATTTGAATAGAAACGCGGCTGAAGAAAATTAAATGCAAAACCTTCAAGTTAAATAAGAGAGTAACTGAGTAAGGTAGCAGGTAACTATGGGAGTCAGATACCATGGAAACCAGACAAATGTGGGGTTGGGTATGCAAAAAGTTTGTCGCCGTCGAGGTTGGTGACGCGCCTGAGTACCTAGAGGTACTTAACAAGGTGCATGAATAATTGTTATTGGCAAAGTCAATGCATCCAGTATGCAGTGCAGAAGTGTGAGGTTTGCCAGCTTTACTTGCCAGAAGGTCGAACATCCGAATCGACGAAAGTGTATTCAATAATGCTGGCAATCCGTTTCCCCTTAAAATCATTTCCCACCAATACGATCCGAAGGTATTCAAAACTACCTGGAACCATTGGCTAACAACAGTGAACCATAAATTTTAGCAAGTTCATTCTTAAAAAAACATACTTGCCCCCCTTTATGAATTATTCCCATTGCAATATAGCAGCTGGTTTAATTATTTTCTTATTTGCAAGTAGGTTGAAGAAAAAAGTAGCACTTAGCTGTTGAGAAGTCCTACCAATATCCCACATGCCTTAAAAGTGCGGATTTATCTCTCCCCATGGAGTGAAATCTATTATGTTCTCCATTGATTTGTGCAGTGAAGGCCTGTTAATAGGTACATACATATATCTTGAATAAGAGCAATAAATTTCTGGTTACCAGATTTACGGAAGCTACAGTAGCACTTCGCTCATATGTGGCTATCTTAAGTGGCAATATATCCATTGCAGTATTTGGATCCAGTATGGTAGACAGTTTACTGCAACAATCATAGCCCATTGTTAATAAATAGTGAATTATGATATAATTCTGTTTCGATCGGAGGGCCTCCGGGTTATGAGCCCGGTGCACTTCCTCTATGCTATGAAGCTTGGGGTAATAATAGAACTCTTGATATATTAATACGAAAGCCGATCGTTTCTTATACCTTACGAAGCTTACTTGTATACTCACTAGCCCCTTTCTGCTCATCGTATAAACTTTCGTGCCAGATATAAGTCCTAATCCCCCTGAGTTATCCAACTATTTCTGCCATATCAAATATTCTACACCATGATGCTGAGAATAAGTGTAAGATACAATTACCCGGTGAAATTTATAACGTAGATGTAGTTCATTCTTTATTTTGGTCATGCTGGAATAACTCTTCGAGATATCTACACAAGATAGGTACTTAGGTAAGCAAGTATATATCGTCAATCCTTTTGAAGATGTTTGACTAGGAAGAAAATAAGTTACAAGTTTGTGGGATTACGAACGAATTGAGTATCCGCGATTTTGTTAATACGCCGTACGTTGAGCCAGTCTCGGTGTTTTAAAGTCGGAGTTATGATCAGGTTGACGTTGATTTTATCTTCTGAGCCGCAGCCGACTAGTCTTTAATGTCATGTGGTGTGAGAAATACGATATGCGTAAACATATCCGTTAGAAAGCCGTGTTATACGTGGTAGCTATCACGGCGACTTTTTAATACGCCGATAGGGGGGCGGCCGATTGTTACCTAAGTCAAACTGGAGCGATGTGGGTCGCTAGCCACAAGCCATTCGGACTATAGAAAGCGGGGAAGTAACGAGACTAGCTGATATTAATGATGCCGTTAACTTATAATCTAAGGTATAGATGGGCCAGAATTTAATAATCTGAGAATAATTGCCGTAGAACTATTATTAATCCGGGTATATGTGTATTTTTAGTACGTCATTGTGACATTGATTGCTAATCAGCTTTACTATCTTGCCTCGATATAAATAACGTCCTTCTTCCTTCGCCTGCCTTAGCGTTAATCATACGAGGTAGACTAGTAAACCCGGAGTCGGATGACAACAAGACTGAAACAAATTGCAACACATTTTTTGCACAAGATGTCTGACATCCATCTGTATACCGCTCAAACGCCTAATGGTGTCAAGATATCGATCCTGCTAGAAGAGCTAGGGTTACCTTATAAGGTGCGAACTCATACTTACTCCTTTAAAAAGACGAACCGGTAGATATCTGTGTCTAATTAGTGGATAGGTTACCAAGATCGATATTAGCACGAATGTCCAGAAGGAGCCCTGGTTCTTGGAGATTAACCCAAATGGCCGTATTCCAGCACTCACGGATACTTTCACCGATGGCAAGCCCATCAGGTTATTTGAAAGTGGCTCTATCATGCAGTATCTGACCGATAGATACGATACGGAACATAAGGTCTCGTATCCGAAGGGATCTAGGGAGTACTATGAAGTGAATAACTGGGTAAGCTGGGTACACTTAGATATCCTCTACGCTCCCACTGCTCACCTAACTTAGCTCATGTGGCAAATGGGAGGTCTTGGTCCAATGCAAGGGTGAGCAAAAGCCGGTACTGGAAACATTTGATGAGGAACACTAACATTTGAGTAGACAACTGAACCATTTCAACCGTACGTGTTAGATTTCTGACCTAGAGTGATTTATGTCCTAATATGAGTAGGCTATGCCCCGGAGAAGATTGAATACGGCATCAACCGGTACAAGAACGAAACTCGCCGCCTCTATCGGACACTCGAGACACAGCTGAAGTCGTCGACGTCCGGCTACTTGGTTGGTGACCGATGTACGAACGCAGACATCTCGTGCTGGGGGTGGGTCGCAGCAGCAAGTACGTATCATTATGATGAATTCTGCAAGAAATGAACTAACCCTTACACGTAAAGAATGGGCTGGGATCGATATGGATGAGTTCCCGATATTGAACGAATGGGTCGAGCGGATGCTAAAGCGTCCGGGCGTCGAGAAGGGTCGCCATGTGCCGTCTCAGCATATCTACGAGAAGCACCAGGCCACCTCTAACGAGGAGATGGAAAAACAAGCTGCTCCGTTGAGAGACTGGGTCCAGTCATCAATGAAGGAAGAAGCAAAGTAGCGGCTTTATCTTTATCTTAAATCTCTCAGGAGCTTGCTGTCCTCAATGATATCAGTGTACTTCGTAGCGCTTAATAGGAAACAATGCAGGAATTTGACTCTTTCTCCGGCACTAGCAAGCAGATGTTAGTTTAAGGCGCATGATTATGATTATACCCTATAAATATTTAATATGTCAAACTAAGTCAACTTTTCAAGTAGAGTGTCGTGTAAAGTACGCTCTTAGGGCATCGCAAATGAGTTAATAGTAGGGTGTTACCGAATAAAAGGGGTAGAGATGCTAGATTCCAGCTGATAGTCCTTTGGTACGTACCTTTTTTTTTTTTTTTTATCATGAATGACTAACATGATGGCTCGAGCGTCACTCTTGCTCCACTTTGGCTTAGGTAAAAATATGTTTACATAAGCGTGGCGCCTGGAAAAGTCGCCTCAAAATAATTCCACTCAACAACGATCCTTGAAGGTAACCTAGTTTCTTCAACTCATTTCTCTCAGGCATATTTTTTACTCAACGTGCAAATTTACCAATATGTCGTGGAGAAATCAAGGGATTACGGGATCCAACAACATCCCTCTCGGCAAGAGTCGACGATTTGGAGGCGAATTAGATGATGCGATCGAGCAACGCGAAAATGGAAGCGATAGCTTCAGCCTTTCCAATGGGGACCGCGACTTGAAGCGCGGTCGTAGCCCCGAGCCAAGTAAGCCATCAACGATATACTATAGTATTCATTCCAGAGCAGAAGCTAATCACGAATCTTTTAGGAACCGATGCCGATGGCCCTCGACGCCGAAAGAAGAGAAATCGATGGGGTGATGCGTCCGAGAACAAAGCTGCCGGGCTTATGGGCCTCCCCACGGCTATCGTGGCCAACATGACTAGCGAGCAACTGGAAGCCTACACTCTACACCTTCGAATCGAGGAGATTAGCCAGAAGCTGCGCATTAACGATGTCGTCCCTGCTGATGGCGATAGGTACGTCTAGCCTTGTGTCTAGTATTTTGTCGCCGGCGCAATTCTAACTAACGCTTCACGTAGATCCCCATCTCCCCCGCCGCAATACGACAACCACGGTCGCCGTGTTAACACTAGAGAATACCGTTACCGAAAACGTCTCGAAGATGAGAGACACAAGCTTGTTGAGAAGGCTATGAAGACCATTCCTAACTATCACCCACCCCAGGACTATCGCCGCCCTACTAAGACCCAAGAGAAGGTCTACGTACCCGTCAATGACTATCCAGAGATTAACTTCAGTGAGATTGCTAACCCTCTAACCCTTCTAACCATGTTCTTGCCCCTTCTTGTTCAGGATATCGCCTGGAATGCCGTTATATCTCGATGGATGACTTGCCACATATTGGCCTCATCCAGCTCGTACTCTTGTTCTAACCGTCTTGCTACAAATACTAACACTTAGGTCTTCTCACTAAAGTTGGTTTACTTATCGGTCCTCGTGGCAACACATTGAAGAAGATGGAATCAGAATCAGGAGCTAAAATTGCCATCCGCGGAAAAGGCTCCGTCAAAGAAGGCAAAGGCCGATCTGATGCTGCCCACGCCAGCAACCAGGAGGAAGATCTCCATTGTTTGATCATGGCAGACACCGAGGAAAAAGTCAACAAGGCCAAAAAGCTGATTCACAATGTCATCGAAACCGTACGTTCCCTGTGGGTTCTATATTCTAAATGTCTATATACTAACATCACATAAGGCTGCATCAATTCCTGAGGGACAAAACGAACTCAAGCGAAACCAGCTTCGAGAACTGGCCACGTTGAATGGTACTCTGCGTGATGATGAAAATCAGGCCTGTCAAAACTGTGGTCAAATTGGCCACCGGAAGTACGATTGTCCCGAGAAGCAGAACTTCACGGCTAACATCATTTGCCGCGTCTGCGGCAACGCCGGTCACATGGCTCGAGATTGTCCTGATAGACAGAAAGGTGCTAGTTGGCGTAACGACGGTCCTCCCCGCGCTGCTGCTGCTGCTGGTCGCATTGGCGGTGGAGATGCCGTCGATCGTGAATACGAGGTATGTGTTTATTGCAAATAAATTGCCGGATGTTATCTAACTGTATCTTTAGCAATTCCTTGAAGAACTTGGAGGTGGCTCCGGCGGAACTCCAGCTCGTATCGAAGCAGCACCTGGCTCCTACAACAACAACAATGGTGGCGGTGACGCAAAGCCTTGGCAACGAGGTCCGACAGGTGCTGCTGCTCCATGGCGTTCTCGCAACAACGAACAGAACAACGAAAGTGGAGGCGGTGGCTCTGCTCCCTGGCGCGACCGCCATCGTGGCAATGACAACCATGGGGGTGATTACTACGCTGGCCAAGGTCAAAACTATAACAGTGGTTCAGTCCCTGGAGCAGCCGCGCCTTGGCATCAAGCCTCAAGTGGGCAGCCTCAGTACCCCAACTATCCCGGCTATTCAGGGTACGGTGCAGCTCCTGGTATGGGACCTCCCCCTGGTCTTGCTCCTCCGGGAGGTTCTCTCGGTGCTCCGCCTGGACTACCTCCAGGAAACATTAATGCTCTAATCCAGCAATATTCCAACGGAGCGGCACCTCCCCCTCCGCCGCCTAGTGGTGATGCTCCTCCGCCGCCCCCTGGTGATCAGCCACCACCACCTCCTCCTGGTGCTTGAGCGTGGGAAGCATACAGAACAACCTGTCGTACCGATACTAACTTGCTTGACCTTGGTACACCGTATCCAGTTCAAGTCGCCTTGCACTGCTAACGATTTTGCTGTTACGCGTTGTTTTTTTTATTTTAGTACTAACCGTTCCGTACGCATCATTTCAGACTAGTGCCTTTCCACGTCTCATGCAGATTTGAGGAATATTAACTTGCGATTCTAATTATCGTGAGTAGGGGTGGTTGCGCAAATGTATTATAGGACTAATCCGTAGACAGCAATGAGGATTCTTTTTTTTTATGTTTACCATGTGTAAAGTCTTGATTAAAGTGACGGTTTATATGCCCCCAACATTAGTAGATATTGTATTCATGCCTCCTACCTAATGTATTAGCGCTGTCTATATGTATTGAAGGACGCGAGATTCGATAGATAGCGCTAGTATGTACCTACATACATAATGTAGGCATATAGGCCCATAGGGCACTTATGCAGAACATAGACAGGGATCTCGTATCATACAGCTTATGTACATAGGTAGGTACATAGTACATGTAGTATCCTGGGAGCTTGGGCCACTCCACTCTCTAATTGCTCCGACAGTCTGACAATTGCTCTAATGTCGTAACCTGCAACTTGCAACTTCTAGAGGCCAACTTCTACCAACCTTCCACAACGGACTTCTACTTCCAGATCATGCATTTGAGTCGACGACGTTCAAGGCAATTGCGATTTAAAAATGGAGTAATTTATAAAACGTCAACGACTCGATGAACAATCAGACCCCTCCAAACATAAACAGCAATATATCTTCGCATGCATCAACCTATTTAATACATCCGTCATCTTCTGTACTGTGCCTCAGTATATGTGCCCTACTACTCTCGTGTCTGCGTCTCTTGGGATGTTTATCATCCCCACCTAGAGCTTGTCTGACCCTCTTCACTGGTCCTTGATTGTTTCTTTTCCTGCAGCCTTATAGTTTTGGCAGTATTCATCATCCTGTAGGTGAACCGGCAGAGTCTGCCAACTTAGCCAATCATGGCTATATCGAACCCGGTCGCCTTTAAACCATTCGCTGTAACATTCTGGACTACGATCGCTTACGTCGCCCTGCTCGTTCCGTTACTCATCGTCCACGAAACCGTCCCGCCTCCTCCAAGCAATCCGACCCTCTACTACGGTCTCAACCTCACCAAATCTTGGCTTGACTTAACCGTATTGTCTCGCGACTACCACCCATTCAACAGCCAGAAGAATGATGAGATTCACGATTGGCTCTTATTAGAATTAAATGATATCAAAAAGCGCAATGGGGCGAATGATTCAAGCATGGTCGTATTCGCAGATAATATTTCAAATATCACTACTGCCAATATCGTTTTTGGAGCATCAAGTTCCACCGGCACCTACTTCGAAGGTACAAATGTTATAGTATACATTCGAGGCAAGGATGATCCGCAAGGTCTATGGTGGGAGGATGATACCGTAACGTCGGACAAAGTTATAGGAAAGGGAGGCGTCCTGATGAATGCCCACTACGACTCGTACGTCTTGTCAGATGCTGCGTAGTGTTAAGCTAACATTAGAATAGTGTTTCCTCTGGATATGGTGCTACGGATGACGGAATGGGCTGTGTTACTTTAATAGCACTAGTCGACTACTTTTCACGACCAGAAAACCGACCCCAGAGAGGTATCGTTGCCCTATTCAACAACAACGAGGAGGATGGACTATGGGGCGCTCAAGCCTTCATCAATAGCCCTCTCCTGCCTTTTTGCCACACATTCTTAAATCTCGAGGGCGCCGGTGCTGGTGGTCGGGCTATTCTGTTCCGCACAACTGACGCTGAAGTAACCAATGCTTATAGGGGCACCAATAACCCATTCGGGACTGTAATCTCATCTGATGCATTCGGACTTGGGGCTATAAAAAGCAACACCGACTATATAGTCTTTGACGGGGTTTTTGGGTTAAGGGGATTAGACATGGCTTTTTACCGACCTCGTGCCAGGTATCATACCAACCAAGACGACGCCAAGCACGCATCAAGAGCCAGTCTCTGGCACATGCTCAGCAACTCTCAGCACACGATGCAAAGCCTCTCTGGAGATACTGGTAGCACATTCATCGGAGACCGCCCTGATGGCGATCGAAAGAAAGCGTGGAATGGTAGAGGAAACGATGGCGTCTGGTTCGATATATTCGGACAGACCTTTGCTGTTTTTGAGTTGCGGACTTTGTTTGCGTGGTCTCTGACCTTACTAATAGCCACCCCCCTAATACTCCTTGGCTTAACGTACATCTTAGTGCGTAACGATAAGTACTATTTTTTCTCGGCAAGGCGATCGGCTTATGAAGGATCTGACCTTGATCCGGTTCTGCTAGGTGGCCGAAAAGGTCTATTCAGGTTTCCTTTTGCTTTGTGTGTTGCTGGGGCGTTGGTTATCGGTTCCGCGTACTTGATCACAAAGATCAACCCGATGATTATATACAGCAGCGAATATACTGTGTAGGTCTTGAACGATTATTATTCTGGGAGGATGCTGACATGATTATAGTTGGGCTATGATGGTATCGCTTTTCTATTTCGCCTTTTGGACCATTATGGCAGGGGCGAATTTCGCTCGACCTAGCGCCCTTCACCGGGGATACTCTATCTTCTGGCTATTCCTCATTGCATGGGGTATTTCAGTCGCGAATACCGTTTTTGAAGATCGCTTTAGAATCGCAGCTGGATACGTGTTCGTCTTCTTCCATTCTGCTGTGTTTCTTTCCTATTTTATCGCGCTTTGCGAACTGTTTGCCCTGCCCACGAAAGCGTCGTTTGCGCAGCGAGTACACGACGAGCACGAAATCAGAGACCATCTTATTAATGTCCCACATGCCGACGCTTTAATCTCTCCAAGTCGAGATGAATTCAATTCTAACGACAACGAGGATGAAGAAATTGAATCTCAATCCCCGGCAACAGAGAGAACTCCTCTTGTTGGTGGTACCCCCGCGGGCACCCGGCGGACGACATTTGCTACTACATACCGTCGTTCAATATCAGCTATCATAAATAAAGCGAGAGCAAGCGAGAGCAACGAAAGCCAACCGTACGAATATGAACAACAATGGTCGGGAAATCTCCCAAGTTGGCTTTGGGCCCTTCAATTCCTCATCCTAGGGCCGTTCTTGATCATTCTTATCGGCCAACATGGCCTGACACTGGTAGCCTCTGTTTCCCAAACGGGTGCTGATGGATCAAGCCTCCTAGTCCCATACCTTATGACGGCATTCTTCAGCATATTTCTATTATTACCCATTACTCCATTCATGCACCGGGTTACTCACCACGTACCGATGGTACTCCTTGGGGTATTCATTGGCACACTAATTTACAACCTAGCAGCCCCCCCTTTCTCGGAAAATAACAGATACAAAATTTATTTCCAGCAGACTGTAGACCTTGATACTGGTGTGACCGAGGTCCATTATGCTGGCCTGCAAGAATACGTCCAACAGATGATTTCCGAACTACCGTCTGCCGCTGGCAAAGAAGTTGAGTGTACTTCGAAAGGGAGTCTGCGTAATGGCTTAGCTACCTGCTCTTATGACGGTTCGGACGTCCCGCCTAACGTGGTTAAGGCATTGCCCAGTGGAATTCCCCCACAGAAAGGCTTTAGCAGCTGGTTGGATTTCAATGTCACGCGTGCAAAGGGTGAGACCAAGGCCATATTTGAAATTGATGCAAGAGACAGTAGGTCGTGCGCGATTGCGTTCGACAAGCCTATTTCCTCGTTTACAGTCAATGGCAACCAACCCCACGAGCGTTTTGGTGGTATACCGGAAGCGGGCCTCACTAAGATCAAACTCTATCGCCGAGATTGGACTACACCATGGAAAGTTGATGTTCAATGGGAAGCTGGTTCGGCTACAAGCACTGGAATCGACGGTAGTATTCTGTGCAGTTGGGACGATGTGAATACCCCCGGTACGATTCCTGCCTATGATGAGGGACTCAAGTATTCACCTACATGGGTGGCTCTCACCAAGTTAACATCGGGTTTATGCGAAGGGCGGAAAGCGTTCAAAGCATGAACAGGGATGTATAACTACACGGCACTGGAGGTTCTATGTGCACGTAATGGGTCTCGCCACCAATAACATAGGGACGGTCGATCTGATAACTTACACCGGTTTACTTTACGTAACACACCTTGGCAATGTCGAATGTTTTAATGTTATAGATCACGAAGTCGACGAGGTACTACAAGCCGGTCTGTATTAATGGAGTATGGACACCTTGCATGGTTGGCGTTTGCTTCTATATTGATAAGGTTGCAGCTAGGTAATGTCACATAACCTACCTTTTTTCCACGATACCAAGGGCCTCGATGAAGCCATTGTCTCACGAGTCGTCCCTTATCTCCCCGATGCAATTATGCTCAGTTAGTAATACGGTAATAAACCACATCCATCTCTGTTCTCGAACCTCGATGTCTCAAGGGCAGTTGGTCCGGTTAAGCTGCATTATACTACCTGCAACTCTATTCCTCAACTTCTGGAATGATCGACAGGACAATGGTTCTTGTTAGTCGAATCTGGACCGCCCTTTTTGGGTGGCTTCCGATTTCACTGCTCTCCCATGCGTTTCCCAACGTCACAGTCACGACCCAATAACGAGTCGGTGGGTTGTCGATCATGTTTGCGGCGTAACATTTCCATATAAAGCCACCAACCCAGATGCCCAGAATGTGCCGGAGTATTTCCCCACGTTCCAATCAGACGCGGGAACCTAGTTCAATAATCTTTATCCTATATTACCCCAGGTTGCATTTTGCCTATTTACGAGGGAACGTTGATGTGTAATTGACGTGATACTTGCAGTTTACAGGTTTAGAGATTCGAGACACAAGACAATGCCGTTCGGAAGATGCAAAGATTTTATTATATTCGTCATTCTAGTTGGTTCTCGAGAGGGTTGTTACCGTAGTGGCCGTAGTGTAATGGTCTGACTTCCTCGATGAAGAGTGGTCGACAGATTTTAGGACGTTTTGTCATGCAGCCTTCCCCAAGCCTTCCCCCCCAAGCCAAATTAAATCAATCGAGATAAATGAATCGAGAAGGTGTCACGGAGTTTATGTGAATGGAAGTAGGGGAATATGTCTGCAACTTTCCTTATTAGTTAATACCCCTTTGTGTGCCTTACATTGATTGCTCTCGCCCGGGGCCGAAAAGGTCTTTAATTCTTTTCCATCCTCGCTTCCCAGTAACAGGCACTGCCTCGCAGTGCCGATCTTCTCACCCCTGTTCCCAGGGACTTTGACATCAGACTATTATCTCTTGTCATCTCTGTCATACCATAAGTCCCAATTTAGAAGCATACAAAGCTCACTCGGCTTAATATCTGTCACTAACTCCCGCGTCTTTGTTCTACCTATTTACTCCCCTGGTGTCGAACCAGATCTACTTATAATACGACCTAGAGATTCTCTAAGCTTCTACTTTCCTAGGAATTCCTAAGCATTCGGCAATCTCCCATAACTCATACCTTAGCAAAACCAAATTAGTCAAGATGGGAAGCTTCACTTTGCGAACCGTGCTGTTGATCGTGGCAGTCGCCGCGGCAGGACTCGCGTTCCCTGCCACTCAGGCCCCAGCTCCTACTCCCGCGGCAGCTCCCTGCACAACAGGCTCTCCCGTCGTGACGGCCGGATACACTATCAGCTACGCCCCAGCCGTGCCGACGGTGGCATTCCAGAATGGATACCAGCCCGAGGAGGCGTGGTCCAAGAGCCACGTCATCGCCACTTACGTGAGTACACCAGTCTTATATGTTACTGTGATATGTATGAAGGAAAAGGGGGAGGTGGTATTCAAGAGAACATAGCTAACGATAATATGTGGACAGACCTTTGGTGTCCCCCCGCCGGTCGAGTCCGGCTTCGCGTATGCCCAGTTCAAGTGCCAGTACTACTGCAATAACGCCGGGGTTGCCGGCTCCGGCAGCTTCTTTGTCAATTACGCTGGCGAGGGGAACAATATTGGCTCGTATTGCACTTGTTTTGATGAGTTGTAAGTTTTGATGTCTACCTATCTGTCTATCTTTAGCGCGCACATTGGTATTCTAGGACGTATAAGCTGACATGATCACGTATAGGCTGCAACCCGAAGGCTTCGTCGCTAACGACGAGACTATGGTTGGTGGTTGGAACCATATCTGCGCCGAGTAAGGCAATTTCTTGGAGCAGGGGAGGCGTGGTTACCTCAAGGGTCGAAAGGTTTATTAGGTTAGGTGCTTAATGCAGGTAGGGTAGATATGGCTCCGGTTAGCAGGCAATTGCGGATTAATTATGAAGTTATGGTGTTTTGTCTGTATAAGTTGACGCTATCGTAATTGGTTCTTGCTGAAGATTAAAACCGAAATATTGTACCTACCACACTCTAGTAACTTGCGCAAGGTGTGGGGAATGATCTTGGCGAATGAAAAAGTTTAGTTTTGAAATTGTATATACTTGTTTGCTGCTTTGCTATATGAACTTTTTGATATAAAGGCACATTTGCTATGACCCCTATTCATACACGTAGATGCACCATAATAATTGAGAGCATGTTATATGGGATTTTGAAGCCAATCAAGCTCGTACACATCAAATTAATACTCTAGTGAATACGGAAGTCTAAATAGAATTGCCACAATTATGTATTCACTGTTCAGAACTCAAATGTAGCAAACACGATACAATAACGAACGTGCACATTCAGACAATCCGAATGCTAACCTGATCTATCCCTTCCCACCGTTTCCCGCGTCTATCCTCGAGAGTTTCACTTAAACGAGCGGTCCGTTCCCGTGTCATTATCCTATTGTCAAATAGACAATTATCAATCCCCAAAGCCCAACCAATGCATCAATGCGTAACCCCTAATTACTCCGCAATACACATGAAGCAAGCTTCTCTCCCTTCCCAAGCTACAGTCCTCTTATCTCGTCCCTCCTATCTCGTCCGATCTACTTTCCCTTATTCTCATTCACCTTCTCATTCGTGTTCTTTTCATCCTTCTTGTCACCCTTCTTCTCATTCTCCTCCTCCTCGCCCTCATCCTTATTATAAACCCCTTTCACCGGAAACGGCCCCAAGCCCCGCGCATACGCCTCCCACTCCGGCGCCAGCGGAATCTTGACATCGTCTTCCAGATCCTTCCTGTCGACGTGCTCGCGCTCGGCCTCCCGCCAGAACTCCGTCGGCGTCGTGCTGCGGCCTGCGCCCCAGATTACGGGCGGCCGTTCTCCGGCCTGTGGGCTCGTGAACGGTCCGATTAAGGATTGCCTCTGGCTCTCGTCGAAGAACCGCGGCGGTGTGCCGGGGCTGCTTGGGAATAGGCTGCGCGGCGGGCCGCTCGAGGATCTGGTTTGGGGGGCTGGCTTCGTGGTCCGGGTTGTTGCTGTTGGCGTGGGACTGGCTAGGTTCGGGCTACCTTGGGGGGGCGAGCCTGAGGATGTTCGTGGGGGACGTGGAGTCTGCGCTTGGGGGGTAGATGAGCCTTTGGGGGGCTTCTCTGGCGTGCTGCCCGTGGTGGAGGGGTTTGCTGGGCCTGGGGATTGAGTGTTAGGCTCCAAAGAAGTTCCCGGGCCGTGGGTTGTGTACAAGTGCTCGAAGAGGCTCTTTGTGCCCATGGAAGAGCCCGAGGTTGCGGGAGGGGTTGGTTTGTTGGGGTCCGACATCGTGGCTCGATGAAGTAAGTGTGTGATGTCTAGGTAGTAGATGGTCTTCGCAATGTTGCTACTTAAGGAGGCGATTTGTTGTGAGTTGGAAAGCTGAGCTGGATGGGATGGGGTCGGTAGGGCTAACCTATATATTTCTCGGTGGCATAGAAGTAGTATGTTCTGATTGCTTCTGGCTATTTCATTATTTGCGTCTCTTTCTTGGGAGCCTCTTGAGACCTGCTGATTGATCTATGTTGCTCATGTTTGTTGAGTGTTCACGTTGCTTTCTGTGTGTCTAGGCAATCTCAGGTTCAGCTGCAGCATATTCAAAGCCCTAAATAAGAACTGCAAGTATATTAGACAATCACCATGTCAAAGACTTCTAAGGGCACACACTCAATTTCCTGAAAGTTAGTTTGTGCATATAATTTTACATCTTGACCTTTTTGTTTGTTGCTTTCGTAGAATCCAACTACATCATGCGTCCTTTATTTAGTATAGTTAGGAAATAATATCCGATGGATTCTAGATGATGCTTGTTACCTAGGTCTATTGATTCCTATCATCGAACTGCCCATATGCTGCAAAACTTCCTTTTCTTCGAAGATTGTTTATATTGTAGTAGGAGTTGGGTTTTGTTCACCATATAACCAGCCACCTTTCAATTCAAAACAAAGTGCACCCTTATATTACAAATGAGTCTCTACGAATAGTTGATATTCCGGCTATTTTTGAAATACTCAATTGACGGCATAGCCTCTAGTTATGAAAAGGGGGGTTACTCTAGCAGAATTGTAGCATCCATTTATATTGTAAAACGTCTGTTGACTGCCAGTATACAGCATTAGGTACCTTACTTAGCAATATCTAGTCTCGCAAAGACTTTAAGCAATTGTAATAGCCTTTTCAATACATGAAAAACTATGATATTGGTTAACTTTACGTCCTAACCATCCGGTTTCTGACTAGGTCAGCATGGTTTCCAGCGCAATTAGACACCCTTGTAGTCTTCTATTGGTTGTCGTATTCTAGTATCAATGATAACTAATAACTTATAATACACGATATCCCTCTAGCATAGCCCTGTGAATAGACATTATCAACAACGATGATCTTAGTACTAATAGCGGTATGGTATTTCAACTAAATATGAGTTATGATTGGATGCGAAGTCCGCGGGATGGGGTCGTGCTTCTATCGGGTCTTCTATTACGAGCCTGGTCATTATTCTCGCCAATAGGCTGGTGCGCCGGGTCCTTGTCATAAGCTTACCGCCACGCCACACCGCCGAGTAGGTATATCCAGCCCTACGAAGGGTTCACGGCGCCACACTTCGTGGTTCCTACTGTGTGGTTCGCCCCGGCCAGGAGCACACGCTCTGTTGATCGCGATGCCTGTGAAATTGCGCTGGTTAGGTGTTGAGTAAAATGGATAAAGGAACTGTCGATCAATTAAGGGGTTGTTGCTATAAAGCAAAGGCGAAGAGTCATGATTTCTTGGTCTCAATGTCATCAGCAAGAACATCTCTGTTGCAATCTCAATCAACTCCTTAAGACTTCAGATATATCCTCGGTTCAAACACCAAACCAAATCCTTCCATCAAAATGAAGTTCTCCATTGCATTGGGTTTCATGGCTGCTGGCCTCGTTGCCGCTGTCCCATCGGCCAACCAGGTATGACTAAAAATCCATGCCCCTCAGGTATAGAGCATCCAGACTAATACTGAACCAAAGCTTCGATCCGTCAGCGACGTGCTCCCCAACCTGAAGCGCGACGTCTCAGGCGCCGGCTTCGTACATGTCGGCTCTGACAACGTCGTGCGCGCCTTCGACAAGAACTTCAACGTGGTGGACTACGCGAGGCTCGACGACAAGGGCACAATCGGAAAGGACCCCAGCGCGGACGTTCTCGCCGAGGCCAAGCTCGCCAAAGCCAAGGCCATCGAGCAGACCTCCAAACCGCGCCTGCCAAGCCCCCTCGACGCGCGCCAGGAGAAGAGCTGCCCTAGCCAGTCTTGCCCGGATGACACCTACTGCAAGGACTTGTCTATTTACGGATACGACTGCTCGACTTGCCTGAGTGTCACGCACACCGTTGGTAACTGCCAGAAGTAAGTCACGGGGAGTCATGGCGATTAGACAGCTTAGACGTGGTGGTTTGAAGGGGGTGTGTTGTGGAGGAGTGGAGGATAAGTTGCGCTTGAGATGGTATTGAGGGGAGGAGTCGAAGAAAGAGTTGTAATATTTTCATTCGCTGCCGCTAATTAGAGCGGAATCTATTGAATATATATCGACTATGCCTTTGCCTACCTATGTACTAAGATCTTGTGACTTGTCTTCCGTTTTGATATCTTTCCGCATCTCAGTTTCCATTCCTTTCCCGTCTTGCCCGGTATAATCTTTCCAATATTTCCAGTGCCTGTGATGCCGTAGCTGTCAGGATTCGCACCTGTGGCGGTGATGGTGTCCCACCGAATAATCCGAGGCGTTCATCTGCAGATCGGCTTTCCTCTAACCATGGTCGATATCTTGGCAGTAGCTGTAACGGCTCCTGTCTCCGTTGGACCATTTCGACAAACCATTGTGGTGCAATTTCATTCTGGAATAATTCATGACCGTAATTTCTAAATATCTCATTGATGGTTACCGGACTAAAACCTGGCCTAAGACCTTCCCAGTGATTGCCAGAGTTGTGAATCCAAACAATTCGAGTTCCGGGTTCGGTTATCTGCATGGCAAACGGCCTTTCGCCTTCGCTGTAAAAACCAGCTACTAGGGGCGGAACCCGTCGTTGAAGGCGACTCGCTTCGCTCTCCTCATAGGGCCGAAATGGTGGGCTACTGTGAAGGCGGCTCCATTCGCTTATAACATGTGATAATATCTCGGCTTGAAACGGACCCGGCATGTTTCGGTCTTCTGGGGTGACCGTAAAGGAGACATCATATGAGCCTCTACTTACATTTTGCTGATATATGTCCAATAGATTCTGGATGGACGGAACTCGAACCCCGGGAGGGAGGATATCTTGGCAAGTTAGACTGTCAACTAATGACTGCACGCCGCAGAGGCCCCTTTCCACATAGTTTCTTACCACGGTGAATCCCGAACCAAACCGATATAAAACTAAAATAGGAGTTAGCAATTATTTCTTTAGGTGAAAGATTAAAGGGTTCGTCTATCTTCAATTTGCAGATGCAGACAAGCTGGGAGGGAAACGGGGAGCAAGTTACTTACAGTCAGCCAACGGAGGTAATTGACTGTCGTCTTGTTGGGCCTGTTCTTCCGCCCTATTTATCGGGTCCGCTGGAGTTCCATAGCCTTGGACTCCTTTCACCACCTCCCACAGTACATCTTCTGGGATCACCATTCCTTGGTTTTGTCCCGACGATGTCTCCGAAGGCGTCACAGGCGGATTCGCTACTGCTGACTCCTCGTTTGGGGTCATTCCTTCAGACGGCCACGTCCACCCCTGTAGCCCTCCCCCTGTCTCTGACCTTTGCTCCGGCTCTTCTTTTGGTCTTCGCTCTGGCTCCAGCTCTGGTACTGGTGGCACTACTGGTGGCACTACTGGTGGCGTTGGTATTACCGGTTCTGTTTTCTGTTTGACTGGTATTGGTTGTTCTGAATCTTCTTCTTCTGATGCTCTTCGCTTTCTCGCTGATTCTATCCATTCCGGTGTTGGTGGCGCAGGCCGTTTTCTCTGCGGCCTCACCTTTGCGCTCAGGAACCTCCTGGGTCGCGGTGGATTCTTTCCGCCAGTCATGATTTTCAAAGGGGAGATTGTGTTTGGTGAGAATTTTACGTATAGATTCTAATTACAGGATAAAATAAGCCTCGGGAGTCATAAACAGAATGCCTTTGGGTACGGTAGTATACCTCCTAATATACAAAATCTATCACAGGGATTTCGGGACTGTAGCTCTCTAATATACGACACTGACTGTTAGAATAAAGAAAGTGTTCAATATCTGTATTCGAACGCCTAGCTTGTATGCTTAAAAGTATTCCTAGATAAAGAACTTTTTGATAGACATTGTTCTGTCCCTATAATGGGATTGTTTGGGACTTGAATGATATCCAAACCGCTTCCCAGATATGAAGAGTTATAGAAATGAATAAATCATGACCAACTATACGAATAGATCTAGTACATGTGATTACTAATTGTTACTTGGTGCACGGATTATGAGAATGCTGTGGAATAAGGTATACAACTTATATTTTATCTGTGAATTCCTTGCCACCTCCGATTATAGCAGGTGGGAGTAACAAGAATAAGTCCGGGTCCTAAACCATAACGCTGGAATATATACGGGTTCTCCTATTAGAAAAGCTTTCGCACGGGTCGGCCCTTAACGTTATAATGACATTGAATTTGCATATTAAAGTTGCAATTAGGAGGTAGCTATGTCATTCAATGCTTCTAGGGCTGCAGGGGGGCAAAGTACTTTAAATAGACAAACTTTCAAGAGGTACGGATTACATCTGGTGAGTTGTCGATCTGCTGAGTCAGCAACAACCCCCTGAATCAACGTCACGCCAACCTCAACAGAAAAGACTGCCCGATAGATAATCCAGAAACAGTGAAATCTATTCGGTTTAGATATATTATTATGGTCTATAAAATCATTTATTTTATCAATTTTAAATAGTGTGCCATTTAATGCCTTACGACGCAAAATGTTTAATCTTCAAGTTCGACTTGGGATCTTAGATATACCTGATTCAGCAAGCATATTGACAATTAAATCATGCATAATTTACCTGATCAATAATATATTCGAGGGCCAAGCGAAGAATAATAAAATAACACATACATAGCGCTTTTAAGTTGACTCATTGCATTGCTTACCTATCAACTGACCGTCTATCTAACGCGATCTTTAAGGATACGTACTATGGCTCAAACTTACAACCTCGATCAACACATCACTACAGCAACTTAGATCTTACTACCTTTGTATGACCGAGCGCACGTCAAGAAACTTTCTGTTTGGTACGTATCGTATCTCTGATCTCCATGATACGTACCGCCTATTCAGCCTCCGTAGTGTGCAAGTTGTATTGATTTTGCTGCGGTACGTAGGTACACTACTGATTAAAAAATTAAAAGTCGTAAGAAGATGCTCGTGCATCAATAATTACCTACTCAGGGTTCAAAGGTACGTTGATAGGTACCTACCTAATATGTACAATAAATACCTATTAATCGTACCTTAGGTACCTCAGGTAGGTAACTATTTTCGGATTCAGCTACATCAGCAAATCAAGTATGGAAAATACCTAGTAGGCGCCTGCTCCAGAAGGAACTGTACTTGCCGAAATTAATATTTCAGTAGGATTTCGTGAGGTTTGCTTGTACTGATACAGGAGTGACATGTATTTGCATTGGCACTCAAAATCGAGGGGCTACTTCTGTACAGTCACGTACATTGAATCACTCTACAGATCATATTTGAAGAAGGTACGAACCTGATTTTACCTGTGCACAATTTTGAACTTTTCAGTAGAGTTGTGATCTTGCAAAATTTGATTCTAATCAGCCTCACCCTTCCCACTCATATATAAACATCCCCTCCCCCCAGACATTTTTGCACTTTCAACTTTTCAACTTCAACAATAACAACAACAACACAACTGGTCAATACTACTACAACACTACAACAGGCATGTCTTTAATAATAATATTTTACACATCACATTCCCTTCCCTTCCCCCAACCAACCAACATTATCCCCAACCACCACACAATTCCCCCTCCTTCAACCCTTTACTTTCCACCCAAGTCCCAATCATAACATAACATATTCTCCCCCTACCCACTACCCACTACCCACTACAACATATTAGGTGACAGAGACATTAACCATACAACTTTACTCAATAGGCCTAAGGGAAAATGGACGGATGAATTTGGTAAGTCAAAATTTTCTTGATTCTTCTAAAGCCCGTTTTCTTGCGACACCTTTCTTTCCCAACCCATCTTGAAAAAATATTCCTACCACCACAGAACTCTTCATTTCACTTCAAACATATATCGCATTGCATAGACCGCCTTAGGTTGCAACCTACCCTTCTATGTCGCACCCACAACTTGCCTACATTACCTTCATCACTCCTCTACTTCAATGTCATTTGCCCCCTTTCATCGCATCAATCCCCCTAACCTACAAAATACTTTCGTCTTCCTCTTTTGTATTTTCGGCTCCTTGATATCTCTACCTAAACCCAAACTTACTCATGTTTCAAGAACGACTTCGACAACGGTATCAGCAATAACAGGGGGATTAAAGGGGAAATACGACATCTATCTGGACTGGAAACGGCTCAAATTCAACAACTTTATTTTACACGACACTTTCGACAAGCTTCAGCATCAAAACACCAAAGTTTAATGTTATATACGCGACTATTTTGATAACAAAATTCGACTAGCTTCCGACACTCGGGATTCTCAACAAACATTCCGGCCAAGGTTTCCAGGTTCCCTTCAGCACAACTCAACGAATTATACTATGAATTGCCTAGAAAGAGGGTGGGAGAGAAGGCTATAGAAGGGAATTAGGCTCACACGACAATTACGACGACTCCGCGGATGATGCTACGAAATGCCTAGAAAGAGGGTGGGAGAGAAGGATAAAATGGGTTTAGGCACATACGACAACCCGACAAGGACCAGGACATCCGGATTTCTTTTGTCTTACTATTCTTCTCTGACGAAATCTTCCTAAACCACCGCAAAGAGCCAAGCAGTACTGATCGCCGGTCCCTGGACCCGCCGTGGTTCACCACGGTGGAGAGAAGCTCAAGTGTTCCCATGTTTGTTCCAGAGCCAGCTCAGAAACGCAGGGCGGCTGGGTGTGAGACCACTAGGATATCCTCTGGAGCTTGCGGGGCCCAGGTTAGAATTTCTCTCTCTTGAGATTTTCTTCTCCTTCCCTGCCTCAAGCACAGCCTGCGGGGCTCAGCTGAGGACCTCACGGTCTTCTTCTTCCCTGCCTACAAGGCAAGAGGCACGCGATGCGCGATAGGATGGGGGGGACAGCACCACCTGCCCTAGACGAGGATGAAAGCGTCGAGCCTGGCTCCGTTAGTAGTTTGTAGAGTTCGCTCGGTTCGTGGTTTGTAGGCCTGCTATAAGACTAAGGTCTTGCTATAAGACTAATATCTGATGTGGGAATCCCTCTCTGGTGAGGAACATTCGGGTCTGTGGTGGGTCTCCAGCGTGGGATATAGCTGGTCTTCGTCAAGCTTGAGGTCACTTGGCGGAGGGGTTTCGGCCAGGCCCATGATGCCGCGGTGGTCAGTCGATGGAGTTTTGACCTTCCCCTTTTTTCCCCTTCTCCTTTGTACTTTCTTATGTCACTTTCTTATGTCACTTTCTTTTCTGTCTTTCCATTCTGCCATTTTTCCTACTTGCCAAATTTCTATTTACCTGCCAGGCTTTTCTTTTCCCTTTTGTCTTTTTTCTATTTCTTCTGTTATCCTGCCATCCTTCCAACTTGCTATCCCACCCACTTGCCGGGCCTTTTTCATCTCTCCTCTCTCCTTACCATCATTCCAGTCTACCAGCCAGCCACACCGGTGGTGTCCACCTGTCCAACTCCATTCTTCTTCTATTTTCCATCCTATCCAGTTACTAAGCCATTTTCCATCTTTCCATCTTTCCATCTTTCCATCTTTCCATCTTTCCATCTTTCCATCTTTCCATCTTTCCATCTTTCCATCTTTCCATCTTTCCATACTTCCATGCTGCCATCCTTCCTGTCTATCAGCTCACCATCCAACAACCCAGCCAACCAGCCAACCAGCCAACCAGCCAAACCTTTTATGCCTACTTTCCAACTCCATTTTCTTCCTACCTTTCTATCCTATCCAATTACCAACCCTTTTTTCCTTCTTGCGATCCTACCATCTGCCAAAACCCTTCCCTATATCGCCAACAGCTTGTCCTTCCGTCCCATCCAGCTGGTCTCTAGCCAGAAGCATTTCCAAATTCCAGTTTTGCCAATCTTCCACAATGCTCTCTTTCCATCCATCCAACTAACCAGCTATCTTCCTTTCAACTAAACCAACCAACTATTCAGCAACCCAGCCACCCAGCCACCCGGCTCCATTCCTTCTCACTCCTCTACTCCTTCCTTTTCACCACCTCCCCCAGTACTCCCATCCACACTTACTTATCAATACAAAAAAAAAGATTATATTCATGAAGCAAACTGGGCGGGAAAAAATCCCTCCTTCTGGGAGCGGTAAAAAAGGGCGGGCAAAACGATGAAAGATAAAAGAAAGGAAATGCAGAAAGAAAAAAGAAGAAAAAAAGACGAAAAAAAGAAGAAGAAGGAAAGAAGAAGAGAAAAAAAAAAAGAAGAAAACAAAACCAGAAAATAAAAACAAAAAAAGAGCTCCTAGAGTTCACCACTTACTCAATCCACTTTACAGGATACTGGATGGTATCACCGTGCGATTTGAGATGTTCGATCCACAACCATGATGCTGTCTGTATCACCGTGCGATCCGAACAAACTACTTTTTTTTTCATTGCATTACTCCAGCTTGCTGGGGATGTGAAGAAGAAAATTAACCTTGAATGAATGTTCTGGTTGAGGTAGTCCCAAGCAGCAGTGTATGGTCTAGACAGTCTTCGGTCGACAGAGAAGGTTGCAAGACCTGTATATTATGAGCAGTGGAAAGCACTGGAAGATAATAGTATGTAGGTACTTTTGGGTTAAAGCATGGTGGGATAGATTGGAACTTGGGGGT